AGGGGAAGTAGACACAGAAACCCTTACTGTATCACCATCTTGAACATACCAATGAAGTCTATCAACAATCTGCACAATAAAAACCATGCTTTAGCATTTCACAAGCACTATCAAAACAATTCTAGATGCATCAAACCATAATAGAACATGTAAAAGATACAAATGAATCAGATCAATTAACAAAAGTATGTAAGGTAATAACCATAAAATGAGGGAACAAAATGAAATTATTGTCAAAGAATTGAAATTATTGTCAAAGAATAGACAGTATTATTCATGAATATGAGATTTTATTTGTAAGAAGGAGCATTGTGGAATTCCTTATTCATAAGGACAAGGATTCTAAGAGTTGTAACTATAATTTATAAACAATTGCTGTTATTAGTTTCAGTAAGAATTTGGCTTTTCGAAAATTGAAATCACTTTCCCGTACTGTCACCCATTTCTCCTTGAGTCTTTCCCTTTCCCTTTCCCCCCTCTACTTTCTCTCAATATTCTCTGTTTTTCCACCTACCTCTCCCTGACCCTATTCCTCCTCTTGTCTAACATCAAGAAACTAAATACGTGCTAGATGGACAAAAACATGGTCACAGCTAACACAAATTCAAACAGTGGAATCCAATCCTGCTTTACCTCTATTTCAAGTTCGTTCAGTTTTAAAGGAATAACCAAACCTCATTAACAGAAACCAAAAATCCATTTATCTAACACTGAACATACGCAGATTACCAGAATAACTTATATCATAAAACAAAATTGAGCCAGAATGTTACATGTATCAACATAACAATGACATAAGACATAAAAGGATCAAGGAAATTATAATAATAAGAAAACAGATATTAATGATTGAATTAGAAGATATTAGAACTAAAGCACAAGTAAAACAGAGCAATTTACCTCTTTAAGTTTATCCACTTTAGTAAAATGGCGACCAAATGATGTGTAGCGCATGCCATTTAGAAAAGGTGCAAGATATACTCTGAGTTTGTTCTGAGAATAATAATTTTAATGGATTCAAGAACAAGAAAAAGAGAGAATGAGACAATGTACTAAATGGCAACTTGTAAAACATTTATGTGCAACAAACTCACAGTGGATATGTCCAAGGAAACTTTGAAGAAGGAAACAGACTACTTATAAAATTTCACATCATCTTCTTTTAAGAAATAGGATAAATAGGATACAAATGCATCCCCTAACCAACCATTAGTTTTCCAATGAAACATAATGAACGCAGAACTAAGAATGCAAAATCCTTCAAAAATGAAGTCATGGATACTAATTACCCTTTAATAAAGTAACTAGTAATAGGATAATTGCAAATAATTACCTGCCACTTAAATATCTGGTTCAGAACCTCTAGCTCACAAACAGCTTGAGCATCTTCAATATTACAGCCATCCTCTAGTTTTGCTAAAGCCATCCGAACAGCCTGTAAACAGTTGAATAAAGGCTCAAAGGAAAAGAACACACACACACAGAGTAAAATCATAATTTTGCTAAAAGTTATAAAGCAAACTTGTTTGGGATTATGAAATACCTCAACTGAACCCTCTATCCTCCCAAGAGTAATTGTTCTGTCGACAACACTTTTTGACGAATATGCATGTGTGGATGGAACCTTGTGCTTTGCTATGATATCTTCCAAAGTTATTGATGATTCAACCTCTTTCATCAGAGCGAATAATCTACATTGGAAAGAATAAGTCTAAGAACAAGACACCATTTGATGCATAAACTAAAACATCAAATCACATTAGTTTGCTCCTACATTATTAAATATTAGAAAACAAGAAAAATACAATCAACTAAAGCAGAAATAAAAAGGCCACCTTCTCTCAGAGTCAGCATCTAATGAAGGCATTCCAGTGCTCTTTTTTTTTACAGCAGACTTGACCATGGCAGTCTTATTACCACCTTTGAGCATATCCTGTCTCCCAGGCTTAACCTGCTCGCTCTGAGTCATAAAAGTGAATAGTCTGTCACCCAGGGAGGTCTTGTTTTGATCAGGTGCAGAGGATTTGCCCACCTCCATTGGCACAGAATTTAATTTCCCTTTCAAAGGCTTTATGGATGAACCAGGTTCTTTGACTTTTCTAAGGGAATTTGTCCCAGGAGTAACTTTTTTACTCTTTTTGCTAGTTTGACCATCTTTAACAATAGAAGACAACTGCTTTTCTGCTTTCATGGCAGTTCTTTCCTGTGAAGAGTCTTCTAATGCAAAAATTTTCTTCTTCAACCCAACTTTTTCATGACTTGTGGGCAAATCTGATGCCTTTCTCTTCTTCCTTTCATCAAAAGCAATCTTCCTATCTTCAAGAATGGGGAATTTTATATGGTCCCTTTCTGGAGTCCCAATTTCATCGTTGATCTTATGTTTTCTAGCCAAAACAACAGGATAAACAATTTAGCAAACCACTAAAGCATATCAAAGAAGGAAAACAACACATTTAAAACACTTACAAGCAATATATCAGTACACGATTGACAAGAAGACCATCCCAAGCCCTTGTTACAATACCTTCATCATCTATATCATCAAATCCAATCTCTCTGGTAGAGGCAAAAAGACCAACCAACTAGACCATTAAAGATGTGCCATATTCTGATAACATGAGCTTAAAATATAAATAAAAAGATGAAAAATCTCAGTTGTACCTTGGTAAGCATTTCCTGTGGTATGATGTGGGGCAACGTCTACATAAAGCAAATTGCAGGTCCTGAACCTTCTTGTTTTCTCCTTGTTGACAAACACAACATTTATGAATGGGGCATGTAAAAAATTCCCCTGCTAAAATTTTTTGCCCATGCTCTTCTGCAGCGACTTTATCCCCCTTATGGAGCAATTTTGCCACACAATGTGGATGATAAAAGTGGCCACAGGTTGCATTACTACAGCGAAAGACCTGGCGAAATAAATGAAACTTTTTTTGAGCCATTGCGGAGCAAGTGATGATAACTAATCATAGGGAAAACAATCTGATAGATAAAATGCCATTAAAACAAATAGGCCAATGAGAAAACAAATTGACCAATGCCAATGAATCAAAAATAAAAAATTCCGATCTATATTTATTGTGCAGGGTTGATTTCACTACAACTTGATTATCTAAATATTTTGTTGCATGAAATGATAAATGACATTGCTAGATATAATACCTCTGCACCAGAGGACTTATCAGATGAGCCTAACTTCCCACATGCAAAGCACTGATGCTTATTATACTCACAATTCTTGCATGAGAAAGTCTGCATGGCCTGCCATTGAGTATGAATTTAATAATTAGAAAATAGACAACAACAAACTAAAAAGCCGATTAAGCAAACATGGGTCACTAGCTTACTTCAACTTGCTTCAGAGTAAAGCCAAGAGATTCACAGAAAGATTCTTCACCAGCCTCTACAGTTGCATGAAATGATCTCAAGCATTTACCGTCACAACATAGAAGTTCACCCCCATTGTCACAAAAGGCGCAAACTGAATCAAACAGTTCATCATCCTCGTCATTGGAATCATCTTGCTCAGGGCCATCAACTGCATCATCTACATCATCAACTATAAATCCAGAAATTGATGTGGCTCGAACATCCTGGATGATCAGTAGGTAGACTTGCTCAAAATAATGTAATTTAGTGAAAGGAAACATAAATTAAGAGAATAATCAGATTTGAAGAAGTAATAAACCAAGAAAAGGTGTATGTAGAAGTGGAAATGTCCAACCTCATCAGCAAGTTTCCTCTTTATGGGCTTCTCCTCCAAAAATGTATGCAAAAACTGTTCAAAACATAAACCTTCATTGAATTCAATTGCAGAAAGACCCAGAAAGATAGCAGCATCATTTGAAATAACTACCATCCCCAATATCTGCCTCTCAGGTTTTACAAATCAAAGAACCATGATGTAAAATCCATTGCAGATTAAGACATGCTAAAAACAACTCCCACATCATCCAGTAACAAATAACATTTGAATGCACCAACAGAATATTACCAAATTACATACAAACCTTGGATTTTGCTAAGGAACCATTACTTTTAACAGCCTCACAAATCAACTCCATGTGATCCACCAAATCGTTTTGTGAAGGCTTCACCTCATACAAGCTGCAAACAACAGAACAAAGAAAAACCCATTAACCATCATACTTGAAAACATAGCACATTCTGAAGGAAAAGAGAGAGAAAAACACCCAATAGGACTAATAAACTACCTAAAAGCTTTAGCTAACTGATCCCACAACGATTTCCTTGACAAATCCGGATTCCAACTAAGAAGATGCAAGCAATGAACCGTTATCAAGACGCTCCTAATCACAGGCTCAAAGCTCTTCCTGGGCTTTTGTAACTTAATCCACCCGTTTTCTTTACTTAAAACCAAAATCTCCGGCTTCCCAACATTAGACAAATCAAATTTCCACGCAGTGACAAGCTTGCAAATCGTCAAGAGCCCGTGATCGGCTGTTCCTCTCAAAAGCACTTTCTTTTTAGCTCCATTAATTAAGCATTCTTTCCCCCCTAATTGAAGTGGCAACTCAGAAAAGGAAACCGCCTCGTCTTTCTCATCATCGAAGTAGTAGTTCGAGACGGAACGGAGTAAACTCTCTTCTTCTTCTTCTTCATCAGAAAACGCCATTTCCACTCTGATCAAATTTTTAAAAATATTAAAAATTAAAAAAAATCAAAAGCAATCGATTCCTACTAGGAAACGAGAAAGGGGGGAAAAAAACCACAATTCTTTTTCAAACAAACGGAAACCAGAAAGTTCTTTTCCTTTCTTTTCGTTGTGAATTTTCTCGGGAAACAAACGGCATTCTTATATCAATCAGTATCTTAAAAAGAAGAGAAAAGATTAAAAACAAAACGAAGAAAGAAGAATTAGTACCAGAGAAGATATTCAAAGGCCAAAAACCCTAGAATTTTCGCGCTTTTCAGTTCCTGACTATCTTCAGAATTTTTGGAGCTTAGGAAAATTTAAAAATAAAAATATACATAAATAAATAAGAAGGAAGTTTTGAAGTTTGGATTTGGGCTTATATATCTCTGAGTTTGGGTTTCAATTTGGGTCTGGCTTGAGAATTAAAAATCAAAATCATCTTTCTCGTACTCAAATTTTAATTCAAATTTTAATCAAAAGCTCGAGAATTGGTAATGCTCAGAATAAGATTCAAAGTTTATATGTTATAAATTTAACAATAAATTAAATTTCTAGGCTCAAAATTCGATTTATTATTTGTTTAAATTTATAGGATAAGATTTTTATGGTTTTATCCATTTAAGAAAATTACTAAAATCGACAGTTCTATTAATGGTATTTGCTAATTTTTGTTATCAATTTTTTTTAAATAAATAAAATCTAAAATAAGCATTTTCACCATCAAGAAAGAAGAAATAATTCTAATCTTCAAACTTTCTAAATATAGGGTTAAAATGCAGGAAAACATGTAATCATATCAATCTAAGACACCCATAAAAACTTTCTATAAATAGATGGACTTTGAGCTCAACTATCCTCAATCATGTATCAACAGTTCCTGGAAAAACCTCCATGAATGCCCCTTACATAACTATAGAGCTAAGAGCACCAAGATAAAGGGGTGTCTTTCCCCTGGAACTCTGTTTCCAAGCTGCAAATTTATAACCCAAAATGGTTGTAAATTTGAAAAAACTTGCCTCAATCTTTGCATTGATAAACAGTATTCAGAAGTAAGAGTATACCATTTATGATATTTATGTTATTAATGTCAAAGAATATTATCTAAACGACTAAAAATTATGTCCCGGCCGGCATCTCTTCTTTTTCAAAAACATAGCCGGTTCAGAACCCTTTTTTTTTTTCCTTTTTACTGTGTTTCAGGGAGGAATTTTCCTCCCCACTATCTTTTCAAGGAAAAAGAATACAAGAACGAAAGAAAGTAAAGAATCCTTTTCCAGGTCTTGGTGGATGAGCAGATGCACCATCTGCATTTTTTCTTCATTTAATGGGGGCATAAGCTCTACCTTGCCTGCAACCATATTCACTCTTTATCCCTTCTATCTGTCCTGATCATGTATGGGAGGTAAATAGTTGCAATTCAATATTGACTATTCGACAGGAGTATCTTCATTCTCGGCTAGAGATGAGACTGTGATGTCTGAGGCAGCATCATCGATCGTTAAGCTTGAGATTTCACCACACAGCGAGGAGCTTTCGTCTTCTCCACTAACAGATGGTGCTGGAGATGCATCTGGCGTATTGATGCTACCATTGCCATTAGCAGGGGAAAGAATTGTCTCACCCTTTTCCGCTGCGTGTTGAAGGCACCAGTACATTATGCTGGCTGTTAGAGTAAGGATCATTTTCTGGTTTACCTGCCATACCAAAAGAAGAGCAATCATTTCTGAACTCTACATAGTCAATTTACTCAAGAAAAGCTTGCAATATCTAAAACCAATTAGAGGAGTAGGGATCTAATCCATTTCCTAATTCCTATTCGTTGTAGAGATGTGAATTCGAGATTCACATTGTGGCTTGAATGCCTATTGAATTGTGCTAATTCTATTTTCCTCATTTTAGTTCTCTCTTTGAATGCTACAAGTAGTAGCTGTAAGAGAAACAAAAATTCATGCAATTCAATTATTTACGTTCTCATTACTTAATAGCTTGCCAGAGTTGCGGAGACTGATGCATCAATCTGACAATGCAATTAAGAAGCAAATGACCTAGCACAGTTGCACCCATACCTCCATGATGTCCTCGGGCAACAAGAAAATGGAGCACCCAATCTTTCGAGCCACGCTTATGATATAAGTTGCATTCAACCTCTTCTCCTCATCTATAATTCCAACAGGGACAAGAAGTGTTAAAGTTCAGCCCAATCTTGACATTTCTCAGACGAAGCAAGAGAACTGATTCACTCCTCTCTAAGTATAAATAATTCCAGTTAGCAAGATATCATACCACTTTCACCCTTAGTCACAAGGTTCCAGTTCACCACTCTTGGCTCCACGACACTTAGAAGCTCAAGGAAAAACAGTCCATTGGAAAGGCTCTTATCCTGCAATTTAAAATAATGTATAAATCATTGTCAACTCTTAAGTATGATCGTTAATACCTAAGAAAAATGCCAATCATCGTAAAACCTTGAAGCTTTCAATTTGAGTAGTTCTTCCTGTACTTCTGACTTTCCCGTTTGCCCAATTTATGATATCAGCATCAGTTATCTCCTTTCCTCGGGAGCGGGATCTCAAACTCTTCAGAAGTTGAAGCATATTAAACCTCATCAATTGCCATAGGAATGCTGTAACACATGTAAACCATTTTGAGCATTTGCACAACCATCCAACATTCAACTTTAAACTGAAAATCTTTGCCAATATCAAACAACAAAAAGTTATATATATTTAGCCACGCATTTAATGAAGAATAAATAAAAAAATATAGTGCAAGTAATTCCTGACAACATGTAGCAAGTAACCACCAACTTTACATGAAAGCACAGTACGGAATGAAGAAAGCTCAAATACATTATGACAGGATATTCAGGACCAAGAAGTATACTCCGGAAGTTTTCTTCCTAAACGGGAAAAGGAGGGAGGGGAATCCATTAGTATAACCTGAAAACATGCAAAGAGTTAAAATTTTCACACTGCTTGCCTTTCCCTCACTTTATGGATTAATTGCCAATTAAAACAACAGCTAAATCAAATTCTAAACAGAAAGGAAGATACACCAAAAGATGAAAAGCAACATGTGAGCATTTGCATACAGGTAGGTGTAGTCAATTTACAACTGATATAGATTCTTTTTATTAAAATATACGTATGAGTGTAAAACAACGTTGAAGGTTGTAATGGAGGCAAAACATGCCAAGCTGTGAACGGAATCATATGAATGCAAGGAAAACAAGCCAGAGGAGATTACCAACTATGAGTTTTTTATTTCCTTGCACTATATCATTTCCACCAACATTCACAACGGAAAATTTCAAGTGCTTCCCAATCTTTACCACTTGGTTGCAGTTCTCTACTTTTCTAAATGGAAACTTAATTGGAGGTTTTGTTGCATGCTTCCAGTTGACTGATCCAGGAGAAACCTTATCAAGCACCTCTAAAAGTATCCATCTGCATCAAAATCAAGTTTTTAACTTTGATATTTCTGATATTGGAATTACAAAGCTACCTCCCTTCAAAGATCATCATAAATTAATATGACGGAAACAAGCTTAAGTTGAAAGTGTTGAAACATATGCAAAAAGTGCCATCAGCTTGGAAATGAAAAAAATACATGTTTGCCCTCTTGGACATGAAATATGCACACATGACCTCGCCCTAAGAGAAAGCACAAGCAATAAACCTGATGCTTTCATGGTTTCAACTTTCTCAGAAGGATTTCAAAACCTAAACCTTGTTTGTAATGTTTGCAGCAAATCTACAATAGGGATAATGCATGAAAATTGATCATTTTAACGACATCAACGAAGAGGAACACTTACCCAGTTCTGACATCCTCAAAGACATTATTAACATAACTCTCAATTCCAAGACTGTTGATCCATAGTCGAAAACATCTCTCTTCTCTGGAAATTTGCACATCATCTGTCATCCTTTCTGCAAAAGAAATCTTTTTGCTATCTGTACTCAGGCCATTCCTGCGAAAGCACACAAGTTTTTCTTTCTCAATTACAGAACCAGACAGCATGTAAAGAGCAAAAAGCAGACTCAATGTTACTAACTCAGTAAACAACCTAAAGCACCGACATGATAAAGGATTGAAGACACAGGAAAACCATTGTAAGCAAACCATTGGGAATATACCACAGCCAAACTGTTTTCATATCAAATCATAGACCTTCTCCCAATCTGTTCTAGCAAAAAACTATGGATGGCAGAGAGCCACTAGTAACATGCAGGATGTTACCAAAAAGCCATTCATGACCTATAGCACGTCAGAAAAATCCACCCATCTTGACTCCTGTTAATTTTATATTAACAATTTTATAAGGAACAAGATCACAGCCTACTCCTATAACCTAGTGGAGTGAGCTCCAGATTTGATCAGAAAACAGTCTTCTATGAGAAATACTAGACTGACAAGATTAAAACAAAAAAAACTCCTAAAAAGTTTGTGTTACAACTGCAAGGTTTGCGGTTTCTCACCTTTGATGAAAGATTTGAGCCACAAATGCAAGATTCAAGTTTGGTGAGCCCTCAACAATGTCTTTTGGGCTCAAATATCGTTTGCAGCCCATTCTCTCTGCATGGTCAAGTACTAGTTTAGCCCTTTCGGCAGCATCCTTAGTATCAAGGGTCAATGGATTGCAGTGCTCTGGTGCCAGAACATTAAGCAGGTAAGCATAGGCTTTTGCATCCTGCAAGTATGAGAAAATAAGTAAAACATATCAAATTATCAATGCAAGTAAAATAGAGCAAAGCATCTAATTGATGTATAAGCATCCACCTCAATCCACTGTATTAGTTTATCATACCCTTGCACTAAATATAATACTAATGCAGTCAAATACCTTCACATCTGAGGAAAAATTTGTAACAGTTTTCTCATAGCCTGCTTTATTTAAATGGAAATTCATCCATTTTAGTAGAACCTTCTCAGGAGCTAACCCCATAAGTTCCTCAACATCCTGCAAGTTACAAAAAATCAAAGGGAAACGATCAATCCATTTGTTTAGAACATGTTTATTTCAAGTATTTATTCTTAGCTAAACATCAATCACATGATAAACAGATGTATTACTGAATTGCTATCCTCCACCAATTCCACAAGCTGAGGTGTCTTCTTAAGGTTGAGATCTGCTAACAATTGGATCTGCAGTGGTCACAGATAGTAAGGATGAGAAAAAGAGTGCCTAATAACAATTTGTCTTAAGTTACCATCCTACTTTTCTCAGTCTATCAAGGCAGTTTAAAGCCTATACAATTAATTGCACATAAATAGTAGAGATGAAATTTAGACGCTGACCTTTATAATTTGAGAGATCAACCCAAGTAAGAGATGAGGCTGCAATAAAAATAATCAAGATGAAAACCATCATATTACCAGAATATTTCATCCTAACTCACATAGGTAACTGTTTTGCAGTACTAACCCTTCCTTCAACCAAGTCCTGTGTGCCAATGTTTACCACTGTGCAGCCAATAGCCTTTGCAGAGTTGAGACAAAGGGTGTGGTTCTCATTCCTCTCCCATGGGTTGAGTACCCTTTTTCTGTTGATCGCTCGTTCATCTATTGTTCCAGGCACAGCAACATTGATAAGCTTACTGCAAAAATACAAGACAGAACAGAATCAGTGCCACCACTCTGTACCAGATTGAAACCACAAAAAAAAAAGGAAAAAAAAAAGGCAGATGCATAATGGAGCAGCATAAAAATACCATAAAAGTACTCCATCTTTTGCAAGATTGAAAAGGTCATTCGTAGCTGGATCCAGGGGAAGAAACTGCTTTAAAAATGGGTCATCCCCAAGATAAATGTTTATGTGTGTAACATAAGAGGCTTTTTCTGATTCACTGATTGTGTGAAGAAGAGTGGTTGTGGAGGCCTTTAGGAAGGATGATGAATTTTTTGGACCACCCAATTTTCCTGTAGCTTGACCTTGCAAATTTAAATACACCTGCTCATTCCATGCAACCAATCAAAATGTTAGCCCCCTTCAATTGATCCCAGTATTGACCAAAGTTAAAGTTTATAATTCCCACTTGTATGCAACTTAACAGAATGTAAGCTGCCATATAAGTTTGACTGAAGCAAATGATTCCTTTTTTCCATAAGTTACAATATCACGCGGTTAATTGCAGTGAAAAAGAATACAACTGAGAGCATGCATGAGCAGATATATATATATGACTCACCCTGAGGAACGTTTCAAAATCAATTTCATTGCTTATGTCACTATAGGATTCACCCAATATCTGCCTAATCTCGTCCTCAGTAAACATAGAACTAAAAGCCTTCAATTTCACCATCAAAGACGGCAAATCCCCAACTGTAAGTTTACCCTTTTGGTTCTTTACCGAGACAAACTAGAAATCATAAAAATAAAAAAAGAAAAGACAGTTAAAATTCAATCAAATTACATTCACAAAAAGTAACAATAAAATTGAATAATAATGTAATAGTTGAAGTAATAAGCAGATGAGGAGGGAGCAACGTATGCTTACCTTGGATTTAAGGCTGCGAAGCTCAACTTGTGTGAATTGGCTTTGAAGCCATTGATCAGAGACAAGAACACCAACAAAACTAGACATATCTACAGATTAGCCAAGCAAAGAAAAGAAAATTCTACCAAAATTTCTTCTCCAAATTACAACTGAGCCCAGAATCCAATGCAGGACTCAGATTACACTCCTGACCAATGCAGGATTCAAATTACACTCCTGAATTTCCTCTTCAAAACAACAGCCGAGCAGCTAAACTTTCCAACAAGATTCCTCAAGCCCAGAATCTAAAAATCCAAAAACCAAATCAATGACTCAGCTTTAGATCATGAAACTATCCATATAGATTGCTTTAAACTTATATCAATCATGAAAATCCAATTCCTTTGTCCCTCACACATACAAACTAATAAAAAAGAATAGTCTAAAATCGAAAATCCAAATCCAGAACTCGACTTTAGATCCCATAAACATTAGTACTAACAAGCACCCATCATGAAGCCATCCCCATAGATTGGTTTTAAGTTATACCAATCACCAAGAGCATCACAAAAAATTTGGAAATCCAAGAAACCACCACCAAGATAACTAATTTTGTTCCAAAATTGAAAACAGGTCAAACTTTAAAAACTCATATGACCAAAATGCAAAACAAAGATTATCCAACAGGAAAAACCAATTATAAAACACAAAGAAAACTCCCCTAAAAAAATGAAAACCCAATAAAGAAAACATAAAAACAAAGCAAACCCAGAAATACTTACCGGTTAAAAGCAAGGATTCTTCCTGTTGTTCAATAAACAAATTCAGTTCCTCCCTCAAAGTTTTTGACTTTACAGCACATCCAAATTTACATAACCAGTAACCATTTAAAGAATTAAACAAATGTATACTTATAGAGAGAGAGAGAGAAAGAAAGAGAGAGGAATGGGGTTGTAGAGAGAGAAAGGATCAATTTTTCTTCTACGAAGAGCAAAGTTAAAAAGAGGAAAATAAAAAAACAAAAAACAAAAAGAAAATACCGTTTTTAGTTTTTACCTCAAAGACAGAAGAGAACAGAACTGGCTTTGAAACAGATATGATTCTGTTCTTTCTTTAAGAATTGGGTGTTTCTGAGAGTATTGTAAATAAGAGGAACTCGCTTTGATTGTTTGCCAGATCAGCAAATCTGATAGGACACGTGTCCACATGGGGCGTGGAGGTGGAGTTTGGGATCTTGTGCAACCACCTTTTGGCTACAATTTTTTTACTTTTTCTTTTCCTGGTAGAGGACTTTATTGTAATTTCACTACTTATTATATATATATATATATATATATATATATTAGATTTACTTCAACTTAAAGAGTTGTCAAAAATTCAAGGAACAAAAATAGTTTGTGATGATGAAAGATAATAATTACTATAATTAATTATGATTAATTCTTGTATTAAATTTATTACGACTCTATTTTCTCCATCGTTAAATTTTATTAATTTTTATGAAAATTAAAATTAAAATATTAATGAATAAGTTTTATATTATACAAAATAAATATGATTTTTTTGGTTTTGTTAATTTTCAATTAAATAAACTAGGGTGTGGACCAAAGATTTTGGGGCCAAATACTTAATTGTGATTAAATTGTTATGGTCAAAAAGTAATATACAAATTAAATAATTTTTTGATTAAATAATTCAACTATATGGTAATATAGTTTGTTGGGTAAAAAATAAAAGCTGCCCAAATCTAGGATTTTGATTGCAAAATGAGTGAAGATTGTCCCCATCTTAACCCTATGATGGGGAATAAATTGGATCCAACTAGTGGTCCCTTTGTCCCCCACAACCCATATGCCCTCCACATATTTATATATAAAACAAAAAAAAATCATGTAAAATCGAAATAATTTTACGTGGACAGTCTGTTTACATGTTTTTAGATATCACGTGTTTCATAAATAAAACAGTATGTTATAATTAGATTAGTAAGATTACTATTCTTATTTACGTATTTAGTTATAATTTACGTCTTAATCTTGATAACAATCTGTTAAGATCGTTATCTCTATTAATATATTTAGTTATAATTTAATTTAATTAAGATTATTGTTCTTATTTACGTATTTAGTTATAGTCTGTGTCTTAATCACGGTAATAATTTATTTGTTTTTAAATTTTTGTAAATAAGAGTCATTGGATGAATGAGCCATTCAATCTAATAAATAAATTGTTCAATGTTGATACACATTATTATCTACTTTTTAATAACCAGCTACCGACCAAACCGACCATTATTCATATATACTTAATTCCAAATCTTATCCATGTGCCTTGCACGACATCCTATTCTGTTTGGAAAGGGACAAGAAGATGATGCAATTCTTTAAGGGATAAGGTACATTGATTTGCTAACCTATGGAGATATATACGAGTATTGAAGAGGTGATTCTCGAACTCAATATGAATAGTTAAGTTTCTATTGACAGCCCATTGATATATAATTACATTTTGATTGTTAGATCTAGGTCTAATATTTTCGAAAAGTCTTTATTTAAAACTCCTTTTTGTGAATAAAATTGATTGAATTATATTAATTTTGATCATTTTTATGGATTTTTAATGTATCGAACCAACTATAATCGAATTTATTTAAAATTGATTTTGGATATCATTATTTTGATTGTTTACAATTGAATCATCGAAAACCCATTCGATTTTTTTTTTAATGAAAATTCAGTTAATTCAATGAATACTCACCCTTAGGCATGGATGAACATTGAAATTCCATGTGAAAAGATTCCCATCAAATACATAACCAGGAAAAGAACAAGCCCAGATTTTCTCAATCTTACCAATGAAAGATCAACCGACATTCTTCTTTTTTTAATTCAGAATCCACGGAAAATATTCTTCATGGAACTTTGTTGGTTACCAAGCAAACAGCCCTCTCGTGACCCTCCTACGGACTGGATTCACATGACGTTTATAGAATCATAAGCTTCAGGAGATTCCTATAAGTAATTGATTCTAGAGCAAGAGGTGCTAACTTGGCATTGGATTCAGGGATAGTTCTTGAGGCAAGAGAAATGGCCATGGCAGGTGAGAGACTTCTGGTGCATTGCCTGGCAGTGATGTTGCTCATTGCATTGGTGGAAGGAGCCACCAACGAGCCAACCATATGTAACATTGCCCTGACCAAGCTGAAACTGTGTCGGCCAGCGGTCACCGGGAAATACCCTCCACCACCAACCAAGGAATGCTGTAGTTTGATGAAACAGGCCAACTTGACTTGTCTCTGCAAATTCAAGGAGGCTCTTCCTGCCTTTGAGATCGATCCTGCCCGTGCATTTGCATTGCCTAAGAAGTGTAATCTTCGCACACCACCACAATGCAAGGGTAAGTTCTAGACAGAGCAGTTCTCTGAATGGTGAAGTGATGCGAAGTTGCTTTCTAAATTATAACTGATGTATTTTGTTGTTGCTTGCAGTCTGAAGAACTACAAGCTCACATCCACTTCAATGGGGCAATTTTCTTTTCACCACCTGCTGAAGATTTCGATTCAAATCATGTTGAGATATAATTTGTATGGGAAGTCTATGTAATTTGTACTATTTTTCTTCTTTGTTGCAATCACTTCAATTTCTTCACATTTCTCCATTGTTTTGATTTTAAAGAGTGATAAATGCTCCACAGATCGAGTCAACTCCTTTTTAAGGCAGTCGACCATTAACCCTAGATGGTGGCATCACCCAGAAGAGCCAGCAAGAAGAGAAAAAAGCTGAAATATATGAAACTAAATCATATAAGTATGTGAATCGTACAAGACAGCTCATCAGCAATGTCTTGTACACAAATGGTAGTCTACAAAGTCTAAACCAGACTCATCCTACCCCTCTAGCATACTGCTATCTCACGCTGCAGAACTACATACATGCTCTACGAACATTAAAATCCTAATAGAGGGTTTAGGAAAGGGGCAAACTTACTGTCGTCAAGTGAGGCCTGGCCAATTTTTCAGACTGGACTTACCACTGGCACAAACAATTTCATGAAATTAGCATGATGCCAGCTATCTAACATGCCAGTGGACTGCTGTTAAGAGGGCCACCAAATATAGGCCTCATGTAGATGTCATCAACCTTTCTCCAGTAGGAATGCACGGTGTACCCAGGCCTTTCAATTAACATTGTCAAACTATCCCTTGCACAAAGGATATTGGTTGACGTAGATGCTTCGAAGGAGAGCAAAGGGAGGATCGTGTCCTCCTTTGGCGATTTTGATCCTAAGTTGCTGTCGGTCTTGTCAATTGCACGTGGAGAAATCAGGTAGTATATAGGGGGCTTTGTTAGGAAGCCAAATGCCTGAAACAAAATGATTTCCTAGTATGTCAACTACAATTTCATTTCTATCAGACAAGGCATGGACTGCTGACAACAGTAGTTTGCGTTAAGACAACGGTGATCAAAGAAACATTACTTCCAAATATACAGCCATATGGCACTATAGCAGTTTCTTCTCGGATTCTGAATCTCTAAAACAAAAATTTTCAGTAAAATTAAGTTACATACCAGCGTAGTGAACAAGACAACGATTATGGTGTTGGTTAGCATTGCAGCGCCGATTGGATCCCATGTAACACCAGAATATGTGAACTATAACAGTGAAGCAAGAAAATTGATGGAATTCCAATGAGCAAAGTTTAGATATGCATGCAATTCGAACATTACTCTAACCACGTCGAACAGCTAGTAAAATCAAGAAAGAAAAACACCTGTTTAAAAGCCAAAGCAATAGATACTGCCCCCCTCATCAGCCCAGCCCACCAGATAATTACCTGGATAAGTAAAATGTTCATAAATTTCAAACCATCACATAATAAATTTCTTATGAGAAGGTTAGCATGGCGAAATGTGAAATAGTGACCTGGTGTTTAAAAGTTAATGGCAGTGGTCTCTCAGGACACTTGTTCATATAATTGGAGAATGCAGAGAGAGGGAACACAAATGCAGCACATCCGAGCAAAATTACAAAAACTATGGTGCCAAAGCTGGCCATTAAAGTCCCAAAACTGAAACCAATAACAAGTCAGGGCTACAGCTCTTCTAGAGAAATAAAGAACTTTAGCAAGCTACAAGTAATTTTTTCACCGATTCCTCATCAGTTCACTTCTGTCTTTGATGAGTAACCAGAGTTAACAAGAAAAGGTAAGCATAAGTAAACACCTCAGTCTACTAATCTTCTACTTCTCCATGTCAAGAGCATCCATTCCTACATAGAGAAAAAATAAGGTTTCTGCAACAAATGACATCATTGCAAATATATGCCTGCAATGGAGATAATTACCAGAAATCAGTGAGATGTGAAGCCTTGCTGAGCTCAATCATCCAAGAAACATTAGTCACCAATATCGAAATACATGCCTGGTTGTGATTCTTGAACTTTCAGTCACATTATGCCATTCATAGTGTTACATCAGAATTCCACAGAAGAAAACAGTGAGAATTCCACTAAGGGCTAACAGCTGCACCGAAGAAATTGCGGAAACTCTATTTTCTTTGATAATAGTATTGCTTTAACGCTATAAAACATTAAATTTCAACCTTTTACCAGGGATTACCTCAGCTAACATGTAAGACAGATAGGCCATTAAAACCATAATAGCAAGTTCACGAACAGTTGAATGTCTGCAAACGGATAGGAATACAGGTTTTACTAGGATGCCTCCACTATAATGAAAGCAAAACAATGAGCACTGTGGCATTTTCCAATGATTTTTTATTTAAAAAAGTTACTAACCTCCCAAAGTAAAAGGTTTTAAGCAAATATGCTGTTACAAGTCCAAACTGCAAGCGAACAAGAAATAGACATGCCAAGATTTAGAACTATGAAACAAGAGCAAAGCCTAGTTTGACATATAAATATTTGGCATGTACTGTCAGAGAATGCTCTACAAGAGCAGTAACTCACAGTAATTCCGAGAGCGGTACTCGTTGAGAACAGGTAAAAGAAATCTTCAATCAACTGGAGAGACATCCGGCTGTTAATTCTTGCAATGTCGATTTCTTGAATCGCATTGAAGAGAACAACTGATGTTGCATCATTCACTACTCCTTCTCCAAATACTAGGCTGTATAATAAGGGAATTTCATCTTGATGGAGAACCTACAAGCAAGCCAATAAAGGCTTGAAACTCTCTCTCTATGAAACAATAAAACAAGCTGCTTATAAGCGAAAAATTGCAGAACTAACCAACCTGCAATGTACACACGGTATCTGTTGACGAGAACACAGTCCCTACGGCTGAAACAGAACAGAACAAAATTCACACGCAACTCTAGTATGAGCTATCAATGCATAAGAAATTCAATTCTGCATATACATAACATAAGTAAGGATCTAACCGAGATAGTCTTGTGCAGTCAAACCAACAAATCCTAACTTGGGAAACAGACACCAACTGCCTAGGACAAGAGTACCATTCATGAACTTAGAAATACTTGATGCAAGTTGTTGCAATAACTACACCTGACAAACTAACAGGAAAAAGGAAAAGAACCCAAAGCTGAGATGGAATCAATATTACCAACTGTAACAATTGAGGATGAGATAGAAACCCCAATTACGCCAAAGAGCATGATGGTTATAAAGTTCTGAAAGAACTGTTTCTTCTTCCCCTGAAATCTGCAAATGAAGTAGCAATAGATAATGAAGTTCGTGAGTTTTCAAAAGCCATGTTCAGTCAAGAATGTGCATGACGTATGAAAACTGACCTTACCCTGCATTGAATATGATAGGCGGAAGGAGATACATGAAGAACAGTTCTTCACTGAATCTTAGGATGTGAGAGCTTTTTCCTTTGCTCAAGAACAATATCACTGTTTCAGCTATAAATCCCTGACCAAGAAGATGGACATTTAGACTTTAACTCAATATTCAAATTGAGCAAGGAAACAAGAATACTAACAGAAATAAAGTAAAAAGAAAAAAAGAAAAAGACCAAAGGAATGAGAGAAAGAGAGAAGTTACAATGAAGATGGCAGTGATGGATTCATTGACCCAACGATACTCTTCAAGCAAGTGACCTATGAGTAAACACAGGCAGAGAATTGCCACAAACAATGAAATAGGCACCACCTTTTCATGCTGCTGAACTACATTTCTCATAAACTCACACATCTCCATTCTTGTTCCTTCTTTTCACTGAATTCTGCATTCTTTATCATTAAATATCGATCAGATCAACTATTTAAAATATTGGTCTTCCTTTCTTTTTTATGCTGATGCCTTGTGATTCTGTGACAAGAACAACTTGGGACATGAGATGTAGAACTAGGGAAACAAAACAAGAGTGATAAGTTTTGCCAGGAAACATGAGTATTGGCAGGTGGCAATGACACGTGGGGTTTCACTTGCATGGATGTTTGCCAGGTGCCAACATGACCATGGGTTAAACCTCTTGCTTGAGAGCAGGTCCTGAAACTTCAGAAATGGATCAAGCTTTTTAGCTTATCAGTTGAAAGATTTGCTTGTGGAATGCAAAGGGTTTGGCCCAGTTTGAAGATTCCTGCTTGGGCCCTTCTCTAAGATATCCATCACATTCTCAACCTCTGATCTCCCACTCCTTTGGTAACCCCATCAATTTCTTCTTCCTAGTAATAAATGTTTTCCATTCTGGGAGCTAGGATTCAAATCCCAACCAAGGCAAGTTGGAGTTTTTTTTTTAAGCTAGATTCCTTGTTTCAATGCAAACCATAAGAGGATATAGCTTGCTTTGGCTTTCGTAAGATGGGAAAAAGCAAGTAACAACTCTTGTCATGGTGCCCCATATCAGATACTTGATCATGAACACCATTCTCACATCTCCATCACATTACCCATTAGAGCTACTATCGGCTGGCATGCATATCTCATTTTCACACAAAGACTCACTGGTGAAAAAGCTCATTTTCACCCCAAAATTTAACATTAAATGTATCAGAAAATTATTCCAAATATTATTGTCTTGTGGGTACAAAGAGAGAGAATAAATTATGTTATTGCATGTGCCAAGACCTGGCAGCATATGCACCTATATATAGAGATAACTACCACATGCCCTACCATGTGTTTTTTATTTGTTTCTGCAACATTTTAAAGACTATAGTTTTCCCGAAATTGTAAGACTATGCTGCTAGTTTCCCAAAGTTTATGCTAGGACAATGGGCAGCGAACCTTAATCTATCCTTGCTCTAGAATTACTAACTCTAACCCTAAGTATTCAACATGCACCCTATCATATACAAAAATACTTTCCATAATTGATTTTTTTTATAAAAAAATCAGACCATTAGGTTTTAAATTCAAGTCTCGTTGCATATGAATTGGTGTTAATTTTACGTTTTTCTCATAACTTCAATATCCGATTAATTTCTTCATTTGTTTGTTAGTTGATTGATTATATGTTTACGGACTAGTTTGCACCGGTACGAGAAAAAAATAAAATACTAAATAAATTCTCGAATTATTTTAAAAAACCAACCCTTATCAATTAAGTTAAACTTCATATAAAAAATTACTTTTGATGGCATAAGTTGTATAATTGTTGGCCTTAAAAAATCCAGAACATTAAGTTTTAAATTCTAGTCTTGTTATGTACGAGTTTTTCTCTAATCTTGGTATCTTATCAATTAAATTAAATATACGTAGTAACATCAAAGTCAGATATATTTGATGCAATAACTGGTCTTCACGATTCGGACTCATTATAAAATTGAATTGGATGGGTTCATTTGAATGATTCAACACAAAAATAGAATAATAAATGGAAAATATCCCTCCAAAGTGACAAGAGTCCCTTTCCTTTTGAACAATTCTTTAGCATTCACATAAGTCCACCCCCTCCTTCCTACCCCAAAATATACTCTACAAGAGTAGTAGTCTTTGAGTGCTCCCCATCCATCTCTTTCTGGTTCACTCTGTCACAATCATTCTGCTGATGTGTGGATCCATCATTCCCTTCCATGTCATCATATTTTTTTAAAAAATCTATTCATTCATTAATAATAATAATAATAATAATAATTCTTTTAAAATACATAGATGGGCAAAAGACTTTATGCATATAAACAGCCAATGCTTAATATTTATCTATTTAATTATTTGAATGATTAATGTCGGTGTCTAATCTTTGTTAAAACTTAAAACTCAAAGTAGGAAAATGAACTTTTAATATACGTAGATTAATCGAAAAAATATTATGTGAAAAAGTTGACGTGGTATGAATCATGAGGGAAAAACCATCGAAGCAATTAACCATAAAAAAAACTCAAAAAAAAATAGTAAAAGATTAGTAAAAAAAAAAAGCCTTTATAAAGTAAAGTCTCTTTTTATAAGCAAAAATGGGTACCCATCAATTTGAACTTTTCTTTTCTTTTCTTTTTTAACTTAGCAAAGGAAAAATCAATGTAAACAATTTTCTTTTGGGTTCAACCCCACGCATGAAAGTGACTAAAATGAAAAGGAAAAAGATTAGGGTTTTGTTTGCCAATGGCCTCTCCCTATCACACTTTGGAAAAGCCTTTGTCCCTCTTTGTTTATGTGAAAGTTCCATTCTCTTTCCAATGCATCTTGGTCCCCTTCATAAAAGCAACTTGCATTGATTAAAAGGGCTACAAATTTTTCTCTGTGTTTAGCTTTAGATGATTTGGTCATGGCTTCACTAATTTTATAATAATGAGTAAAGAGAGCATGGTATAATTATTACCTCTTTATTTTATAAATAGATATACTTGATTGTACTTTTGAAAACGATCGAAAATAGTTTAAAATTTTGATTTGATGCACGTTGAATTAATATTTAAAATTCATACAACGTTATTCAATAAAAATATAATTTGATTTTTAAAATTTTGAGTTTAGGGTTTCGAGAGTAGTAATGAAAATTTTCATTTTCTCGGATTTTTTCTTTTGGTAAATCAACTTGAATTGTGGGAAGTACCTCCAATGTTGGACCCTTGTCCTTGAAGCAAATACTGCCCAATTGAAGCAAAATAAAAAGTAAAATAATTCTAACCACAACACTTGATTTTGCCAATGTCAGAAGAAAACATATCTTACCTTTGATTTCTTTTCTTTTTTCTTTTCCTCTTTTGGGAGAATACCACTTTATTCATGTGGCTTGATTATTTGTAAAATTTATATTATGAAATTTATCTTCAAAATATCAACTAATTTTGAGCCGATGTTGTCTCGATCTTATTAAAAATAAAATAAAATTTATATATCTTCAAAACATCATTGAATTTCTTAAAATTGAATTAGTGGACATCGTCTCAATTAATTTTTTATATTTCCAAATTAAGTAGATAAAATAGTGCAAATGGTGTTTAAATTACCCTTAATATCATCATCCTTGGCTTCCTTTCTTTGTTCCTAATCATATCCAACTAATAAACCAAGCAGACAATTTTGATTTTGCATTAGAATAAAACAAAAGCCCTCCCCTCTATTAATCTAATCTCTATTTTTTTTTTAATAATAATATATCTCACATCTATTAAATTAAAAATATATTAAATATATATATAGATATAATAAAAACATTTCATTTATTATCAATCGATTTTACATTGTACGTCTATTATAAAAAATATTATAATAGACGTTAGGATAGAATATACAAAAAATAAATAAAAATAAAATTACATAAATATTATCTTCGTAATAAGTTTGTTTGTCCTTATTCGTTACAAATATCTAGACATGTAAACATATTAGTGTCATTTCATCGATGGATCGTCGATAAAAAAAAGTCTGGCGTAATAATTAAACAGAAAAACCTTTTGTTGTATATGCATTGACCCAATCCCTAAAAAAAAATTCCCAAAAGTCTACACCCAATTTGCCAAATGTGTCAATTACACCATACAAAATTATTTATAGCTGCTGCCCCAAATTTTTCCTTCCCTTGTAGTGGTGGGATCCCACCTAGAACGTGACCATTTTGCGCGTTTCGGTGACCTCACGGTGGTGGGCTGGGACCAATGGGCACATCCCACGTGGGAACTTGCCAGGTTGGCGTTACCCATATTGTGGACGCCATGTAGCTGTCCTCCAATCAGAACCTCGGTTGCTGGCTTGGATTGGTGGGCTGGCTCGAGCCATGGGTACCCTTTTTGTTTGACCCTTTCACGTTTTTAGTCATTCAGCGACAAGTGATGGCCTGGGCCCGCCTATTGGTGCAGGCCAGGACATTCTGCAGTTAATTATTGGTTTTGATTTCATCAAAATTTCAAAACCATCATGATCATCATGGTAAAATCTTTACCGTAGGAAAGAGTCTCATCTAAGGCGACCTTTGATACAAGAGAGAACACATTTTTTATAATGTGTTCAATTAAATTATATTATAGTATTTATTTTACAATAGATCATTGTAATGTAAAATTACAATAAAATCACATTATAGTCAAAAAAATGTAAATGCATAAATTGCTAATGTTCAAAACTAATGCACTCACATTACATTACACTCGTAATTTCTTAAAAATAATTTTACTTTTTAATTGTATTACTTATTAAAAATATTTATACATGTTATAATTAAAATAAAATATATATATAAGAAGTAAAAATTAAATAAAATAAAATATAAAAAAATTAAAAATTTATATAATATAAGTAAAATAAATTAAAATAAAATATATCATATAAAAATATATTAAAAAACTAAAAAAATAAAATATATAAAATTATAATAAAAATATAAAAAATAAAAAATATATGACATTAAAAATATATAAGAGATGATATTATATAAAAATTAATAATAAAAAAATATAAATATATTAAAATAAAAATATATTAAGATTATAATAATAATAAAAATAAAATATATGATATTAAAAAAATATTAGAAGAGAGTATTATATAAATAGATTAATAAGTATAGAAATAATATAGATATATTAAACTTGTATTTTAATAACTAGGGTAATTTTAAAAATTAACATTACATTTTCAGCAAATAACTGGTAAACTAAACACTGTAATGTTATTTTTTCTGCATTTTAATCATTATTTTACTTGCATACTAAACACTGTAATGTTATTTTTCCTGCAATCACATTACCTATAATCACATTACATTATAAAGTACCAAACGTCACCTAAGTTTGTAAACCTGATGTCATAATTGCTATGTATAATTTCATGGTTTTCATTTTTATAAAATCGAGACATCTCGAATGCACACGGGAGTACTTCAACGGTAATTGTCAACTTTTAGTTTTATTTTAAAAGTGATTAATTTTGTTTTATTTTAAATTAAATTATCAATTAGTTCAAGATTTTATCTAATGATTTTTTACTAAATTTTTTTATAAAATTCTCAAACAATCATTGATATGGTTTATTCAAAATTTTATTTTTAAATTTTTTTTTTGTAAAAATTGAACTTTGATTAATAAATAAAAAATGGGTTTCTCCCTTTATTAATTGAATTAACTTGTATGAATAAGTTATCTCTTTGGAAAAAAAAAAAAGATATCATGTGATCTTAATTCGGATCAATGATAAATTATGTACTTTTAAAATTAATTTTTTTATTTTATTGAACTTAAAATAACTAATATGTTATAATCATTACATTTATAAACAAAATAATCTTTTATAAAATTCTGATTTATGATTTTTTTTTACTTTAACTTTTCATTATAAATATGCAGGGTGCATATTGCAATTAATTTTTACTTTAATGAGATCTTCCAACAACTTTTTTAATTTCATGCAACTACTTAGAAAAACTACCAGGACCAAAATGAAAATCACTTGAAACTTGGAATTAATTCTTGTAATTTTTCCCTAAATTCAAATTCAACTTTAAATATCTAAAAAAAAATAAAAAAAGAAAAGAAAAGAATAGAAAAGAGAAGCTCATGGAGAACATGTGGGAGCGATCACACTCAATCATTATCCCCGAAGCTTAGGACAAAACCTCCGACCAGCCGAGAAGCTTCCTTAGCCGGCTGGAGCCTAGCTTAGGACAACGCGTAATTCGGTTGGAAAAAAAATAATTTTAATTTATTTTAATTGGATAAAAATAAAGTCTATAAATAATAATTAAATAATTTAATTAATTAATATTGAATAATATAAATAACGAAGCCAACACCAAAGGCCAGCCTAAAACTTGCAGTCTTTCTCTCTCTAAACTTGTACCGGTTTACGAAGTGAGGAAGAAACCGGCGGCGGAGATCAGTGGCGGAGGTGAGCTGAGGTTGTCAGCGGAGGAGGTAATTCCGGCAATGGGAAGCTTGCGTGGCATTACGGTTGCCGTTTTGGTAGTTCAAGCTTTGTTAGCTTCAGTAGCTTTGGTGTCTGCTCAGGGATCTAGTAATCGTTCTCGTTGGCTGACATTAAACGGTGTGTAGATTCTCTCTTTATCTATTTTTACTTAATTAATGAAATGATGAGAAAGAAAGCTTTTTTTTTTTTAGTGTTTGTTGGAGCTTCTTGTTTGATTTTTTTTTTTTGAGGTGGTTTTCTGTTTGGTTGATGAGAAAGGTGAGGAAATGTTGAGAAAATAGCTTGTTGAGCTGGGAGGCATTTTCAAATTTTGCTGTGTTTGGCTTAATTGTTAGCTAGTTTTCGTTTCGTTTACTGGAAAGTGGAGGAAATGATGAGCAAAATTTTGCTCAAGCTAAGCTTGCTTTTGAGCTGCTTGAGCTTTTCGCTGGATTCGTTAAATGTTGATTTTTCTTGTGTTATGTATGATTTTTAGTTAGTTTCTGTTTGGTTTCCAAGAAAGGAAAATGGGGAAACAATTGCTCCAGCTATGCTAGTTTGAGCTTGACTTTTTCTTTTCTTTAAATATTTTCTGTTTGTTTGCAAAGAAAGCGGAGGAAACATAAAGAGAAAAGTTCAAGATCCTTCGAAAACAAAAAAATTTAGGTTTTTATCTGTTTTTTTTTTTCGCAAAATTTGTCTAATTTCTCTTTGGCTACTTAGAAAGTGGAAGAAACGATGAGAAAAATGCATGTTTAAAATTTTTAAATAATTCCCAAGCTTCTTGAAGTTGAAATCTTTTCCGTTTCCTTCTTAAAAAAATTTTCACTTTCTCTTTATAAATTTATGTTCCTCTTATTTGAAATTTAGTTTTTTTTTCTAAAAAGAAATGCAATTATTCTTTTTGTTCTTAGTCAACCGCAATTTATAATAATCTTTTTAACGTTTCAACTTTCTATGTTTGGTTAATATGTAAGCTAGCTTTGAGTCTTCTATTGATTTGAATTATACACTAGTAGAAATTTTGGACTTTTGTTGATAGGAAAGTGGAACAAATTGATGGAAAATGCAGCTTCAAGTCTTTCACAGTTTACTTCTTTATATATACATGTATGTATGTATCATAAAAAGTTGGGCAATATTTTTTATACCAAAGAGCTTTTTCTTCCTCCCTCTTCTACCTCTTTCTATATATGAATATGAGATTCAATAAATTCTCTTTTGTTTCTTATAGGAAGAATCAATACAAAAATCCGAAAAAGTAAAACCTTTTTTGTTTCTGTAAAAAAAATATTATGGTGCTTCTTCCTCTGATGAATAGGATAACTTAAAAAAGTGCTAATTTTTGTTTGGTTATGAAGAACATTAACGGAAAGCAAATAAACTATGTTACGACATTTAACATTATGAGAAATAGACATGCTTTTTCAGTTTCTGTTGTTCAATAAGCTTAAATGGTTTGATTTGATATGCAGGTGATGTACCCTTTGTCATAGCACATGGTGGATTTTCAGGAATATTTTCAGACTCTAGTTTTGCAGCTTATAGTTTGGCGTTATTAACTGGTCCACCTGATGTGATCTTGTGGTGTGATGTGCAATTAACAAAAGATGCTGCTGGGATTTGCTTTCCTGATCTTAAGCTAGATAATAATTCTGACATTGCAAGTGTTTTCCCGGATAAGCAGAAGACTTACCTTGTTGATAGGGTCGCTACCAAGGGATGGTTTTCTGTTGATTACACCCTCAAGGACATCGGAAATGTCGTCTGTAAGTTCAGCTCACAATTTGTCCTCTTTATCTCTTTTTCCTGTCTTCATCAATGTTCTCACTATCATCATTAGTGATGTGCTTGTTGCCATTCTCATCATTATCTGTTATCTTCACAAACTTTGCTTGATGGATAATTAATGAACTTGTGATTACAAAGTTCATTTTCATAGTGTCAAACTAAGTTTTTAGTTTTGTAATATCAAACACTAACTTTGTCCTGACCGCTAAGAACTCAGTTCAAGTACTTTTACCAGCAATCAGGTAATTTATTCTGATTTTGATATGCTTGTGCTAGCTGTCATGACAACATTATTCTTTATTGAGGTTCAGCATGTTGGTTTGATAAGTTTGTTTGGCTTGATGAGCTCTAAAATGTTGAAACTATGAAAGAAATATACTAGTAGTAATTTCTGGTTAAGCTGCTTCTCTGCCTTCTACTATTTGTTTGATAAGTGACATTCTAATTTGATATTTGTTATCTGGACAGTAAATCAAGGTGTCTATTCTCGAACTAATAAGTTTGACGGTAATAATTACCCAATTATGACTGTTGCGGATACATATACGCAATTGAAACCACCTGCTTTTTGGTTGAATATTCAGGTAAAAATTGATCAATGCTTTATAATACTTTTTTTTACCCTCTCCTCTCTTCTTTCTTCTTATCCCCTTGTTAAATTAGTATAACTTCATCTTCCGGTACTTAGATTTAATTGGCTGTCTTTCTGTTTTTGCAGCATGATGCATTCTACGCACAACACAATTTGAGCATGAGAAACTTTGTAATTTCTTTAACTAGAAATGTGAATGTAACTGTTGATTATATCTCATCACCGGAGGTGGCTTTCTTGCAAAGTATTGCAGCACGTTTCCAAAGAAGCGCAACAAAACTTGTCTTCCGGTTTCTAGAACCAAACAAGGTGGAGCCTTCAACCAACCAGACTTATCAATCTCTCTTAAAAAATCTCACATTTGTCAAGACATTTGCCTCTGGAATCATTGTTCCCAAGTACTATGTATGGCCTGTCGATGTAAGTCTTTACTTGCAAAATTCTACCTCTGTTGTCTTGGATGCTCACAAAGAAGGGCTTGAAGTTTTTGCATCAGACTTTACAAATGATGTTCCATTTAGCTTGAATTTCTCCTATGATCCGGTGGCTGAGTATCTTCAGTTTGTTGACAATGGCCAATTCTCTGTTGATGGTGTGATATCCGACTTCCCAATAACTCCATCAGCAGCTATAAGTAAGTCATATAACTGCTTGTATAAGCAATGTGAATCCTTGAAGATTTCTTCAAATTTGTTTTTGCAGCTGATCCACAGATGTTTGCCTTTTAACTTCAAGTATGCTAAAATTAAAATTATTCTTATCTTTGTCTGAATGACTTGTGCTGCCATCTTGCAAATGTCTTTCCAATTTTTGTAGCTTTCACAAATTAGGGAGCATGTCCTGCTTTAAGATTTTGTTGGAAAAAAGATGCTCCTAAGAGTCTTGCACTTTGTTGGTTTTTTTCTCTCTCTATAGTTGCCTCATACTATAGTTGTATCATATGAATAAGTGAAACCGTGTCTGCTTTTTCTGTCTCTTTTTATTGTCTTGGCCGACGTGCCCAACAGAATAACTTCGTCTGATTATTGAAGAAAGGTTGTCTTACTTTTACTAGATACCATTATCTTTTTATCCCTATTGGATAAGAACCATTTCACTTTGAGATGCCAAACTTTTGTTTCACATTGCAGATTGCTTTGCTCACCTAGGCAGAAATGCTTCAAAACAAGGTATGCTATTATAGAAAAATGCTTCTGATCAAAAGATTTTGTTTTTTCTTGATGAGAGTTAGTGATAATGGTCAACAGATTATATGTTTTATGGTTCATTATAACCTGGTTTTCTTTTGTTGCCATGCTACAGTGGATCTTTTGGTCATCTCAAAAAATGGAGCAAGTGGAGACTATCCTGGTTGTACTGACTGGGCATATGAAAAAGCAATTAACGATGGTGTAGATGTTATTGACTGTCCTGTTCAAATGACAAAGGATGGGACACCTATTTGCTTGGGCTCTATAAATCTGATAGATAGCACAAATGTTGCTCAGTCAAGTTTTAGCAATCTTTCAAGAACAATACCACAGATTATGCAAGGCAGTGGAATATTTACCTTTGACATGTCATGGAGAGATATTCAACTAAGCTTGATGCGTAAGTTTAGTTCTCACTTGCTTGTTCTTTATTGTATTGAACTTTTGTGTTCTTTTCTTTTTCCATTTTTCCTTTTTGAATAAAACTCTGCTTTGGGAGATCAATATTTCCTTGCATGCAGTACTTTTCTCAGATTAATTTACTTTGCCCTATCTTCTAAATATGTGCTTTTGTTGCTGAGATTTAGCTGGTTTAGTCCTTTGTTTATTAAATAGATATAATTGGCCTTAACTTTTTGTCAATATCGCTCTATTAATCTATCATTACTTAACTGCAGCTGTTATATCTAGCCCACAGTCACAGTACAAATTGTTTCGAAATCCAAAATTCAAAAATGTTGGGAAGTTCTTGACATTATCTGAGTTTTTGGCCATGGCAAAGAATGCTAGCTCTCTTCAAGGTGTCTTAATCGGCATCGAGGTCAGTTCTTGTCATCCTATATTTTTCCTTTTCAAGTTCAAAGTTTCTTGCATTAGAGTTTACTGCCATTATTTTTATTTTCTACTCACATTATTGAATGGAATGATGGTTTCTTAGGGGTTAGGCACTGTGCATGGTGGCTAAGGTTATCTGCCGTGACAAGGGATAATGTTAGCATGGTATCTAATTTTGTCTCAGGAACATATCAGATTGAGTCATTAACCTAACTGGTAGTTTTGGTTTATGCCATGTGAAAATATATTGAGCTGAATGGTCAAAGAAACATAGAAGCGTAGTGTAATATGAAGTTGCCACCATTCTCAACTTGACATATGTAGATTCATTGAATCCCTCTAAAGAGCCTAAATCACTCAAAATCCCCCAATTTCTAGGGTGTCCAAAACTTTTAATAGTCATCATAATGGAATGTCATCGAGATTGAAAGACCATTCCCTTTGTTTTCCAAGTGTTGAAATAAAGTACACCTGTCTTGTAAGATGGCTTCCCTTATACGTAAGCTACCATATTTTGTTTGAACTTACTTGCAAAATAATGTTAATAGAGACAGGAAAGTTCTCTTCTAACTTCACAGATACTAAACAGAGTAATCTTCATGATTATTTCCCCTATTTGAGTAGCAAAATATTCTTGTTGTTCATATCTTCTCTTGACACTCTGTAGCAAAATCTCCAATCCCCTTTCCTTTGTATTTTTTGGTAATCGAAAATCTCCCATCTCTTGAAACTCCTTATCTGCTTATAATATTCATTAATGTTGATTTTGAGCTGGCTGTAAATGCTGTATATTTGTATTCCAAATGGTTTTACTTTCTTAGATAACATAACACAAACATTTTGGTGAAGATTTTTGACATTTTTGAAATGTATGTTCCTTTCAGAATGCTGCTTACCTTGCAGAGCAGGGATTTGGTGTAACTGATGCAGTGCTTGATGCCTTGAGTGAAGCGGGCTATGATAAACAGACCGCTCAGACAGTTATGATCCAGTCCAGTAATAGCTCTGTCCTAATGAAGTTCAAGGGTAAAAGCAACTATAAGCTTGTCTACAAGGTTGATGAAGATATTGGTGGTGCTCAGCTTGCATCAATTGATGACATTAAGAGCTTTGCTAGCGCTGTGGTCATTAGCAAGGACTCTGTCTTCCCTGAAAATACTGCATTCCTCACCGGTGTTACAGATGTTGTACCAAGACTACAAGCAGCTAATCTCTCTGTATATGTTCAAACATTCAGTAATGAGTTCACATCTCAAGCATGGGACTTCCTCTCTGATGCAACTGTTGAGGTCAATTCGTTCCATGTGGGAGCCGGTATTAATGGTGTTATTACAGACTTCCCAAAGACTTCTGATAGATACCGGAGTAAGTGCTTGCTGGTCAAATTTTCGCACTTTCTATATGTGTAAACTAAAAAATTTTCATGGCATGGGACTACCAGCTTATTCCTTTTATATTAATTGGAATATGAATATCTTACGGACTGGTATTGATGTGATAATCTGTTGTAGGGAACCGATGCTTGAACAAAGGCAATAACGCACCTGGTTACATGAGCCCTGTCCAGCCTGGGAGCCTTTTGCAACTAGTCACAGCTGAGTACTTGCCACCAGCTGAAGCTCCGAACCCCTACCTGACTGAGGCAGACGTTGCTGAGTCCCCTTTGCCTCCTGTTGCAGCAAAAACACCAACTTTCAGTCCATCTGCTAGGGCACCATCCTCAACATCACCAAATGGACAGCCTAAAGTTGCTGCTTCTGTCATTATGCCACCTATGGCTGTGGTTCTTGCCTTTTGTTTACTGTTTTGAAACAGTAGAAGAGTCGGCCTGCACTTAAAACCATTTTGCCCCCTTTGTTTTCCTATCTCATTGCTGGGATATCAAGTAGCTTGAAGCTTGTGCTGCAGGAGTGCTTGTGGCAAATATCACTCCTTTTGGTTCTCTTCCCCCCCAAACAGCAGTTAAATTATCTTACCTCTTTTCTTTTTGTAGGTATGTTCATTCTTCTCACTTGTATTTTGGAAAAAAGCACAAATTCTTGAGAGGTACATGTCTTGATGAATCCATTCCCTCTATTGATTGGTGTAAGATATCTTCTGATTATTCTTTTTCGCATGAAAACTATTATTTATGGATCGAATACCATAAAAAAGGCATGAAAACACAACTAGTGCTATTCAACACTCGTCTGTCTCCAGGCCCTTACCTAGGTTTAGTTCATATGATTTTTCTGTAGAATCATGCATAAAAACCCAGTGGAAAAGTTGTCATGTTCTTCTTTCTTAAAGAAAAGTTGTCATTGCTGCCAAGATCTTATTTAGATTCAGTTCTTTATCATTCCAGAGGTATTGTAAGTGGCAAAATCGCCTTCCTGTCACGATCCACTGAGATTCCGTCTTTAAAACCGGCATTAAATTTCGGCATTTAATGTTATTCAGGTCAAATTTTTGCCATTTCGCTGTTCATTCATGGAATCTAAACATGCAATGGTACCAATCAAGGGATGAAAATCAGCCCAACCATTGCTCTTTTCTCTCTTAACAAAGTGAACAAAGGTTTTGACCCTTTTGGTGGTTTGGGGAACTGGGATTATGGGAGAAAAACCTCACTTTTCCTTTGGAAGTATATGAATTTGGGGGGCATCTCTGCTTTAATTAATGGAGAATCTAACCGGTTTAATTACTTTGTCAGCAAAAAGAGTCACCAATCTCTGCCCAATGCTTCTTTTGTAACGCATTCTGCAACATTTCTCATACCCCTCTTCACAATTTAAAATATGGGTTTAGGTTATGATCATAAGAAAATTCTTTGATAAATCAAAATTAAAATAAAATTATGGAAGATTGATTCTATAGAAGTGAATGTATAATATTTAATCACACATTTTAAAAATTTATAATCTGATGTTAAAAACGAGAGTTTAAAGTTATAATTTTTAGAATCATCTAAATGTAATTAAAATTCGTATAATTATAATTTGATCTCTCTTTCCAATTTTTCTATCTTAATAAATAAAAAAGATTATGCATTTAAGTGAATCAGATATCATTGAGGAATCAGGGGGGTAATGTTAATCCCTAGAAGCAGAAGCAATAAAGTCATATTCAAGCAAAAATTAAAGAGACAAAGACAACATGGTTTAATTGTCTGTCCAGTTATATCCATGAAGACAGTGCTATAAGCAAGTCAAAAGGAAGAAGAGGAATCAAATTAAGAAGGAATGGGTGCTTCTTCCAGTTCAGTATTCCAATGTTTCCTCTTCTTGATGTTCATGTTCCTGTATGGAAACCAGCAGCTGCAAATCTGTTTAATGTGCTGCAATATGGTGCCTCAGGTGATGGAAAAACAGACAACTCCAAGGTACAATGTCAATTTCCATTGGAAACTTATGATTTCAAGTTTGATATTAGCTTATACTCGTCTATATTGGCTTGATAGAACTAAAATTGAATCGTAAGATGTTGCTATTTTGGCTTCTCAAGTGAGGTTTTACCTCGAATTTGGCTCTTTGAACTAAAAGTTACGCATAATTATCATTGAACCAAATATTCGGTATTTATTGTTATTTCATTTCATAAAATTATTAATGGATCAAATATTTGAGTGTTTGTGGCTTTTCTGCTAAGCTGAAAACAAAAAAAAAAAAGAAAAGAAAAAATGGAGGAGATTATGATGTAACCAATTTGATACGGTCCCTTGAAACGGATCGAGTTATGAGACGGTGTGTGGAAGGGTTGGTTTAGTTTGAGGTACACTAGGTACTTGGTGGATGGTTTCTGTTTTCGACCTATGTTTGTAGTGCTGGCTCATTAGAGAAAACCTGCAAATCTCTTGAGTTTTGAGTACTCAAAAACTTAAATAGATGTTGAACACCTTCCTTTTAATAACTTCAGTCCTTTTAAACTATAGCTCGATGGAATAACCACCCTTAAAGCAAGGAGATGGAAAGGTGGAGACACACACAACCTTCAATAACATGAAAACAGAAAACTACCACTAACAATAAAATAGGGTGGAGACATAACCTCCAACAACTGAAATGGAAAACTACCACTAACAATAAAATAGAACCACAATGAACTATTAAAAATAAACTGCCATCAACCAATCAGATATGTTGATTTAGTTTATATTTCCCATGTGTAAATCGATTGTAAACTAAGGGATTATCAGATGTGCTAACACAATTTCATGTCTTTCATTGTTAGGCCTTTAGTGTTGCATGGAAGCAAGCTTGCCAGAGTGGAGGAAACAGTGTAGTTTTGATCCCATCAGGGACATACCTGGTGCGTCCGACTGTTTTCCAGGGTCCATGCAGGGGTGCCATCGCGTTTCAGGTCAAGGGGGTGCTGAGGGCTCCCACCGACGCAGCCTCACTTGACCTTGACCATTGGATTTCCTTCCGGTACATTGACAGGTTGTCAATCACCGGTGGTGGCTCACTCGATGGCCAAGGTGCCTCAGCTTGGCCTTACAACACTTGCCTTACAGATCCTAATTGCCCTCCTTTCCCTGTTGTAAGTTCTTCAAGAAACATCCACCTAGAAGAATATATGAATTAACAATGCAAAGATCTAATGATCATTTTCTGGTTTATTTTTGGATTGTGTATCAGACACTGAGATTTGATTTCGTGACCAATTCATGGATCAATCACATAACATCATCAACAGCAAGAAGTTTCACTTCAACATTTTCGCTTCCACAAACATTAGAATCCACGAAGTCAACATATCAGCACCTGGTGACAGTCCCAACACGGATGGAATCCACATAGGAGACTCCACTGGGATCCATGTTTCAGATTCGGAGATAGCCACCGGAGACGATTGCGTTTCCATGGGGCCAGGATCCAAAACATCAACATCATGAATGTTCATTATGGTCCGCGGCCATGGTTTCAGTGTTGGGAGCCTGGGGGCATCCCCCAATGAAAAAGATGTTGCTGGTGTAACTGTGAGAAACTGCACTTGACAGGAACTCTTAATGGTTTGAGGATCAAAACATCGTCTCCCTCTCATTCAAGCAGCTGTTCTGATATTACCTTTGAACATGTTAATGTCGAAAATGTTAACAACCCAATTTTCATTGATCAAAACTACTGCCCATCTCACAAATGTGGCCTACAGGTATAGTCTTTTGTCTTTTTTTCTTGTACATGCCAATGGATGCAAGTATTGAAAAATTAACCACTTTGGGTAGGGGTGTGCATGAGTAAGTTTCGATCAGTTTCGAGTCGGTTTTGTCAAAAATTTTTGGGATATAACTGACGAACGCAATGAATAAACTGGTTTCGGTCGGGTTTTTAGAAGGTCGTTTCGGTCGGTTATACCAAAAATTTGAACTCGATGTAGGGGGGGGGGGGGGGGAGGAAATTAGGTAATTTGACTCGAGTGGGGGGGGGGGGGGAATCAGGTTAGGAGTCGGGATCTGGAAGGGGGACCAGGGGAATCAGGTTGGAGTCGGGACTCGTGGAAGGGGGACCAGGGGAATCAGGTTGGAGTAGGGACTCGTGGAAGGGGGGCCGGGGGAATTAGGTCGAGAGTCGAGATCGTGGAGGGGGCTGAGAGGAATCAGGTCTGGAGTCGAGACTCATGGGAGGGGGGCCGGGGAATCAGGTCTAAACTCGGTGGGGGGGGGGGGGGGGAAGGGAAATTAGGTAATTTGGACTCGAGGGGGGGGGGAGGGGGAATCAGTTGGAGTCGGGACTCGTGGAAGGGGGACCAGGGGGAATCAGGTTAGGAGTCGGGACTCGTGGAAGGGGGACCAGGGGAATCAGGTTGGAGTCGGGACTCGTGGAAGGGGGGCCGGGGGAATTAGGTCGAGAGTCGAGACTCGTGGGAGGGGGCTGAGAGGAATCAGGTCTGGAGTCGAGACTCATGGAGGGGGCGGGGGGAATCAGGTCTAAAGTCGGGACTCGTGGGAGGGGGGATTCATGAGTTGACGGGTGGGGAGGGGAATTAGGTCAGGACCGAGTCGGGGGGACCGGGGGAAGTAGTGAAGTGCTGCAGGGGTAGCCGGCGGGGGCCATGGGTGACCTTGCCAAAAAAAAGGTTCGATTTTTTCAGTCAGTTCGGGGGAAGGATTCCCCCCGACGACCGAGTCGATCAGCGACGAGGCCGATCGGCACAACCACGGTTGCGGTCGGTTGGGCGGTTCCAACTGACCGTTGCCCAGCCTAACTTTGGGTTGATTTTTTTTTCCTCAAATTTGCAGTGGGAGTCAAGGGTGAAGATTCAGGGTGTTAGGTTCAGAAACATATGGGGCAGCTCAAGCTCGAGAATTGCAGTCAATCTGCAATGTAGCAGACGCACACCATGTGAGAACATTGAGCTAGGAACATAAACATAGATTACAATGGAGGTGGAGGAGAAGCAACAGCAGCAGCCGCCTTCTCGTGTTCTAATGTTCATGGTGTTGCTTATGGACAACAACATCCTCCCTCTTGCATGTAGAAATCTTTTTCCACCATGTCAGCCCAATAGCTCCAACTGTTCTTTCTCACCTGCAAGCTTAACTACATAATGAAAAACTTTGAACTTCCATTCAAATTTTGAATACCTTTCATTCATCTGTTCCCCTATCTACCTCATTCATTTCCTTCCCTAACGCTAAATTACTCATTAACATTCCCAACAAACTCATCCCCAATCTTCGGATACACACCTAAAAACATCAAGCAACATGATAAATTTTGGTCAGTTTTAGTTTGTTGATTCTTGGACATTATATGGTTATGAGTAGTTGAGTGTTTATTGGATATATATCCCTATAATTTACAGTGGGTGGTTGAAAAGATTACCTAATTTAAATAAATGTTTTTCATGCTACAACTAAAATCTGCCTTTAACCTTTAACATATATAAATAGGCTTTTGTAATTTGCTGACAAATAAGTTTTGGGTTTCGTTAGTAATAATATAATTAGTATTATTTCTGTCATTTATTTTCTAAAATATATCATTTTTATTGATAATTTGATATAAGTTGAAAATAATAAAAAAACAGAAGCAACTCTTAGTTCGAATTTACTCTTTGACTACAAAATTATGCACTAATTATTGAACTAAATATATTTGAGTGTGATTTTTTGGTATAACTTGAATTCGAAAATTAGATGCAAAATTACAAATTAATTAGGATTCATTACCCTAAGTGCTAAATCACATTTTCCAATCCCATGGCTATATATAATGTCATACCGTATCTTTGGTTGGGTATAAGGAAAACAAAAAGAGAGAGAGAGAGAGAGCAGTCTGAAGAGCTGAGCTAGCAAAATGAGGTGAGCTCAACAATTTCTTCAGGGTATTGTTATGGCCATGGCTCTCTACTCTACTGTTACTTGATTGCAGCAAAGATCCCAAAGGCTTGCTAAGCTCCTCTCCCTCATCCCTGTCATCACCCTCTTATCTATCATCCCCTTCAACCTCCACAGCTTCCATATAGGTGTCCCGACCTGGTGTTACCTTGCTTGGTTGGCCAATTTCAAGCTTCTCTTATTTGCCTTTGAGCAAGGCCCTTTATCATCTCCATCATCATTATCTCCATGGGGTTTTCTTGCTTTTTGCTCACAGCTGCTTTCCCATTCAAAATCAAACAAAACCCATCTAAAACCAACTCAAAAGCACTGCCGAATTCGATATCAGAGGCTTCAAACAAAGCTATGCTTTTAGCCTTGGTGCTCCATTGTTATAACTACAAGCAGTACTTTCACCAACAGGTCTTGTTAACCTTTTACTTCTTATACTCGTACTTCTCAATCCAACTCCTCCTGGCCGTGGGTGCAATCCCGGGTGAGCTCATCCTCGGGTTGGAACTCGAGCCACAGTTCAACGCACCCTTACTTTCCACTTCACTGCAAGATTTCTGGGGGCATAGGTGGAACCTTAGGGTCTCGGATCTTCTTCGTGCCGCCATATATGATCCCCTACGCCATGTTACTACACGTATGATTGGACCTCGATGGGCCTCACTGCCGGCTGTTTTCGTGACGTTCTTCATCTCGGGCCTGGTGCACGAACTACTATACCATTACATCACTCGTGAAAGCCCGACATGGGAAGTGACTTTGTTCTTTGTCCTGCAAGGAATGTGGGTAGATATGGAGATTGTGCTCAAGAAAAAAATGGTGGCGACCAACAGATTTCGACTCCACAGGGCGGTTTCAGGGCCACTGGCATTGGCATATATAGCAGTGACTGCTGCCTGGTTATCTTATACGCAGATTCTAAGACATGGAATAGATGAAAAAATCACCAGAGAATTCAATCTGTTGGTGGATTTCCTCAATGGCACACACAGCATTCTCAGAAGAAACTTAGTTTTGCACTAAACAGTCATGTATTGGAGTTTACAACTATAATTACTGGACCATCTCAGCTTGCCAATTACTACTTTGAAGCAGGAAAGCATGCATTAACAAGTCTTTGACTAATGAATTTGTAAGTCAATCGCTTTAAACTTCAGTGTACACCAAGCATTTATGCTTACATTTTTATTTTACTTTATTTTATGTTGCTTTCTTGGAATGGTAAGCCGGGCTTCTTTTATGTCTTTGAAGTATGATCCGGGCTATTGTAAAATAGACTCAAAATTTTAGGCCTTGAATTTTAAGATATATGAGTTTCAAATAAAAAATAATATATAAAATAAAATTAAAAAAAAAAGGAAAAAAAATGGGAAAATGGCAGCGGAGGCAACCTGTCACCTTCAAGCCGCAATCTAAAAGCTGCTGAAGCTAAAAATATGAGAAGGCCCGTGCTTCAGCTGCTGGTGCCCCGGCAGCTTTGGACTTGGCCCATGTCAAACATTACAGAACCATCTTTTTTAATAAGAACTGTGTACAAAAGTACAATTTAGGTAAGAGTACTTAATTAAAAACCGAATTTAATTTAATGCTTCAAAATACAAGATTAACTTGTTCAATGTTATAAATATAATTAAGAACAAACTAAACCATATATATTACGTTGAAGTAAGAAAACGAAGGGGACGAGAGAAATGAAAGAAGCCAAGGAAATGGAGGGTGAGCTCAAGAACTTCATCAGGTTATGTGTTCTGACCATGGCATCTCTACTCTATAGTTACTTCATTGCAGCTAAGATCCCCAAGGGTTTGCTAAGGCTCATCTCCCTCCTCCCTGTCATCATCCTCCTATCCATCCTCCCCTTCGACCTCAACAGCTTTTACATAGGTTTACCGACCTCGTTTTCCCTTGCTTGGCTTGCCAGCTTCAAGCTCCTCTTGTTTGCCTTCGATCAGGGCCCTTTGTTACTACCAAAACACGATCTCCTTCGTTTCATCCTCATGGCCTGTTTCCCTTTCAAGATCAAACAAAACCCACCTCGAGAAACACCATCTGAAGCCAAGACTAAACCCATTTTGGAGGCTGCAACTAGAGCCACAGTGGTATCGATTGTGCTTTCTACTTGTGAAAACTATAAACACTGCTTGAATCACAAACACGTCTCGTTGATCTATATTTTAGTCATGTACCATGGAGTACAACTTCTCTTTGCCTTGTCTGCAATCCCTGCTCGACTCCTCCTCTATGGCGTCGAACTCGAGCCACGGTTCAACGAACCGCTGGTTTCCACTTCACTACAAGATTTTTGGGGCGACAGGTGGAACCTCAGGGTCTCAGACATCCTACGTGAGACCGTATACAACCCCGTACGTCGGGTCTCCATCCGTATCATAGGACCTCGATGGGCCTCGTTGCCTGGTGTTTTCCTGACTTTCTTCGTCTCCGGTTTGATGCACGAACTGCTTGTCTACCACATGTTTCGTCAGAGCTCGACCTGGGAAATGACTTGATTTTTTATCCTGCATAGGCCAAATGGTTCCTGATAGCTAGAAATGCCAAAATACTCATGTCCCATCAACTTTACACTTGTTGTTTGAGTTAAAAATTTAACAAATTAAGAGTTCTATCCATCATACTCTTAAAAAGCATTATCTAGATAATTCTGTTATGATCATATAAAATTTTGAATATCAAATTTAAAACATAAATATTTATCTTGTAATTTTGAATATCAAATATAAATATAACGAACCCATGGCCAAAGAATAATAATTATGATTTTGAATATAAAAATAAATATTTTTACATGTAGAGATAATGGGTTTATCTTGTAACTTTGAATAGCAATTAATTTGTGTAGACTTGAGGTTTTCCTTTAGCTGCCAGCATTCTAAACTGGTCCATGGCTTGAACTCAATGCTATATACATGAACTTATGTAGAAACCAGGAAAACATGGGGTTACCAGAAACGAAAGCAATGACAGAAACTACTCGTTGCCTTTTTCATAATGTCATAGTATTATATAAGTCCAAGAGAGTTAAAGAAGCCATGGAAATGGAGGGTCATGAGCTCAAAACGTTTCATCAGGGTATGGGTTTTGACAGTAATATATCCATGTCTCCTACTGTTACTTCATTGCAGCAAAGATCCCAAAGGGCCCTCTCTTATCAATTCTTCCCTTTCGTATGTCTACAGCTTGCCATATCTAGGTGTGTGGACCATCATGATACAGTTATAATACTGTTAAATTATGATTACATACTGTTAATTTTTTTAAAAAAAAATTATTGAGAAGTTTAAGCCCTTGACCAATAGTCTCTCTTCCCTTTTTTAAATGTTTTAACTCTTATATAAATATAAAAGAGATGGCTTTAGTGCAACAAAACAGGAGAAAAGAAAGGCAAGATTCATTAATTTATTATAAATTAATTTACTAAAAAAAGATAATAGCATCATCATATTGTAATCCCCAAATCATCATCATTGTGAAACATGCTGCTGTCTAGCTGGTTTTTGAAATTGAAGCTTCCAAAAGTATACATCTTGTCAAGTTGCCTGGCAGACAATATAGTATTTGCTAAGGTTTACACCAAGGTCTTCCTTGTAATAAGCTTTTGACTTGATTTTTTTGTTTTGTTTAATTGTCCAACAAAACTAGAAAACAAAACCCATAGCGCGGGGATACGTTCTGTCCCTTTGTGTCATGCTTTTGTGCAAATGATGTCATTTGGGGATGAAGCTTTCAACCTAAGACCAAAAAGAGAAGAAACCCACCACAAGAAAATGGACCCTCCCACCGAATCCATAAGGGAGGCGCACCACCATGAGAAAATGGCCCAAGCCTTCATGGTTAGTGATGATCATGCAATTAACTTAGCAGTTAATGATCATTAATTAGATGGTTTTGAAGCAAAAGTTTTGTTTGTTGTTTGTTGCAATGAAGCAAATGGGAGGAGAGGCTCTTGGTTTAGGCATGTACCCTTTTATCTTAGAAGCAACATCCCTTTCCCTTTCTTTAATTTCCTGCTAGAATATATATATGACTATATATATAGACGGTTTCAATTATTAAAAAACACAAAAAACAAAAACAAAAAATACAATCAATCATTTTCTATTTTTATTGCATACGATTTTATTGATTTGGTTAAAAATATATTTATCTTTTTTAATTAATAAGAATCGGTTTTAATTTTCAATAACGGGATTAACGCGATTACTCCCAATTATTCAAATTGATGTAAACAACATTTTGATTGAAAAACAAGCAAGACTAAGACCCTATAATTCAAGTGATTGTGGTGTGGACTTGTGGGAGAAAAAATTGAAAATACCACAAAATGAAAACTAATTCTTTGCTTTAGATTTTTTGTTTTTCATTCCAAAAGAGTGACCAAGATATAATTGGAAGTGTCCCATTTTCTCTTTAAAAGGGTCTTAATCCAAATGTTTAGTCATTGGTTCATTTGAATTTTTGGCCTTGGGGAACCTTTTTCAAGCTTCTTACAATGCACTAGAAAAGCAGTTGATATTGAATATATTGATGTGATTAGGTAGATATTTTGGCTAGCTTGACTATCCTATTCTCCCACCTTCTCCACAATTTACATTGACTAAACGTAAAACCACAATCCAAAAGCTTCAATACAATTGGAAATTAATGATATTGATTCTTGAGGCTAGAAACCACGTATAGTATTATGATTTTTTAGGTACTATGCTAACAAATTTGTCACTTTCAAGCTTGGCAAGGGTACAAGTTCACATTTCAAAGATTCAAATTGAATCACTTGCATGATGAACTCTATATATATAAAACCCTTGATTCTCTTTTGGATTAATGAAGAATTAATTATTAGAATAAATAAGATGTATGAAAGATTTGGGTGATGCTATATATTGTGTTGTTGAGATTAAAGGGTTTGGAAGGTTACACTTCCTCTTGTATCTATTTTCATTTTCTATTCACAAATTGCAAATTTTTTTATAACAAATTCAATGATTTTTTCCGGTTTTGTTAATCAAGATTATTAATGGACGTATAATATAATGGGTATAGAAAAATTGACTTTCTAAAATCATTCTAATATAAGTTAAACTCGAAGAAAACATCAAGAAATTAAATTCAACCATGAATATTTATTCAAAATGTTTAAGGGTATTGAAAATTAGCAAAGCTTACCCCTTTTTGGCAAGGGGAATAAGGTAAAAGGAAACAAAGACGAATATGGGGCAAGAACATCCTCCCCCTCATATTTGTGGACCAATGAGCATGCTTTCGAGCTTTAAAGTGTCCCCCCAATATGAAAGATGCTTGAACCCTCGGAGTTCACTTTAGGATTTTCTACATGGGGGGTGGCAAAGCAATGGCATGAAATGGACCATAGTTTGACACGTGTCAATCATTCAAAGGATGTGATGGAAACCACCCGCTGGCTTCCATCCCCACATCATGGCAACGCTATGCTGACGTTAATGGAAGAACAGCTCCCTCCAGCTCAAGCAAACTCCCATGTGGGTCTTATTTGGCCGCCAACATTTCCCCTTTGACCTTCCAAAGTGTCACCGATTGTGTCTCTCGTTCTCTACCCAAGTTTCTCTCTTTATATATTCGTTCAAATTCTTGAGCTTTTTCTTCACAAACCTTGTAACAAAGCCCAAAGCCTTTAGAAAACTTAAAATAGACAGAAAGACGATAGAAATGCCTGAGAGAGAGAGTTCTTGTGTTGGTTTGAATGAGCCAAGGTTGGTGGTGAGGAAGTTCTTGGCTAGGCCACAACATGAAGGAGTTGGAGCAATAGTCAGAAGGAGCATAGGCCGGTAAGCCGAGCGGGAAAAAAATGAGATAAATTTGGTGTTTTTTTCAATAAAAGGAATGAACTTTTGATGAATTTGAGGTGTTTGGATTAAAGGGTACTTTTGTTTTTGCAGGTTTGAGTTGAGACACTTCGATCCTTTCCTTGTTTTGGATGAATTTTCAGGTTGGTGTCTCTGTTGTCTCTCTGTTTTTTCTTTCTTTGTTCTTTTGCTCTGTTTTTTCCTAAAGGTTTTGATTTTGGATATTGCAGTTACAGCACCTGCTGGATTTCCTGATCATCCACACAGAGGTTTGATTCTTCTTCTTCTTCTTCTGTTCTACTTTCGCGTTTGCAGATGTGAAATCATTTGGATTCTTATCCTCTCTGTTTTTGTGTTAACAGGATTTGAGACAGTCACCTACATGCTTCAGGTACAGAAATGATCATTCTGACGATCTGGAATTCTTTTTTCTTAACAGATTAAGCATAATTTGATCATCTCCTTTCTCTCTGTTTCTTAAACTTTTTCCTTTTTTCATCCCAAAAATAATTGGAAAATGTTGTGTTTATGTACATTTAGAAACTATTCATTGCCGAATTAATAATGTCATTCGCACTATCAAGTTTAATTAAGCATAAAAAAGGGTCAATTAGATGTGATTGTACAACATAAATGAAAGCAACAGATGGCTGAACCTAGTTGCACTCTAAGGCTAGAAATGAAATTGTCATTTTAAGTCATACCAGCCATGCCAAATAGGGATTTGACAATGCCCCATAATCATCAAGCATAGACCTCAAATAATATGGTATGCTGGGATTGCTTTATTGATTGTATAAACTTACCCCTTGGCTGCATGCAATTGGTTGATTTCATTAGGGGGCTGTTACACATGAAGACTTTGATGGCCATAAGGGGACCATTGGACCTGGTGATCTTCAATGGATGACTGCAGGAAGAGGCATTGTCCACTCAGAGATGCCTGCAGCACAAGGAACCCAAAAGGGTTTACAGCTATGGATCAACCTCTCCTCCAAAAATAAAATGTAAGCTCAATCCATGGAGATACACAAGTTTTCCATTTAACTTTTTACCATACTATCTTTATTTTTAATACGAAATCGAATTAAGTTTGACTGCAATGATTTGTCATTATGGATCTTTTCTTGAAAGTGGTTTTTGAATGCAGCACACTTTGCATTGCAATGTTTTTGCATATCTTGTGGTCAGCTTTTACTAAATGTGCCTGTCGTTTGAGCCTTGAAGAGAGAACCTTTAATGATGGAATTGGCTTAATGCTTGTTCCACTAGCTGGACATGCTGCCACAAAATCCTGCTAACTTTTTCAACCCTTCAACCCTCATTTGTTTAATCTTTTATTTTTCCAGGATTGAACCAAGGTACCAGGAAATATCAAGCAAGGACATAGCAGAAGCAACAAAGGATGGAATCAAAGTTAGAGTTATAGCTGGTGAGGCCTTGGGAACAAAGTCACCAATCTACACCAGAACCCCAACAATGTACCTGGACTTCACTCTAGAACCTGGAGCTCACCTCCAACAACCAGTACCTGAATCCTGGAATGCCTTCGTTTATGTCCTGGAAGGAGAAGGTACCTTCGGGCGGTTGAAATCGTCCCCTGTGAATGCTCACCACCTGCTTCTGCTAGGCTCTGGGGATGGCTTGGAGGCATGGAACAAGTCGTCTAAGTTGCTGAGGTTCATCCTGGTGGGAGGTGAACCATTGTGTGAACCCCTGGTGCAATTTGGACCTTTTGTGATGAACACACAGGAAGAGATTGATCAGACAATTGATGATTTCGAGAACTATGCCAATGGATTCGAGAAAGCAAGGCATTGGAGATCTGAATCTGGTCTTACCCTGGATTTCTGATTCTTTTGTTTTTGTCAGAGAATTCCATTGGTTAGCTTTGGCAAGGAGAAAATGTCATTGATATTCTAATAATCAAATATGTACATTATACATTATGCTTTGTTAAGGCAGTTTCATCAATTTACTCGAATTTATACACTACTAGTGAATCAAATGTTATTATCTCACTTATTAAATTTTATTAATAAAAAATTTAAACAAACTATATGAATAACAACAAAAATACTCGAAACGGGCTTTTTTTTTTTTTAATATTTTGTTTTGAAATAATAAATAAAGAAAAACATTTATAATGAAACTAAATGACAACCCTGAAAAGAAATTTGCTTCTAACCTATTGAAAATATTGCTTAATTAATCATTCTACCAAGTTTTCTTCCCTTTAAATGGGCTAGAAATTTCTTTGCTAATGTTTTGAATATTTTAATAATATTAGTTTCAATATTTTTTATATATTTAAGAAAAATTAAGGAACTATAATTTTTTTTTAAAAAAAAAGACAAAGGTAAAAGTGCAAAACTACAACTGACTTTAGCTTTCCGAAAAGATTCTAAACTTCTGGGATAGACAACACAAAACGTGTGAACTCTAAGCCAAACTCGGAGAAATTTCCGAACCAAAGCCTCTGTTTTTCAGTTTTGTTGTCAAACCAAAGTCATCAAAACCCACAAAACCTTAAAGTTCTTAGAACCCGGAGGAAAAGGAGAAGAAAAACAGCCACCCATGAACAAGAAACACGAAATTCTTCTCACGATCCTCTTAGCTCTCTTTGCTCTCAACTCCATCTCTTTTTACCTGTACTTTTCCTCTTCCAACCACCATCATGAGGCGGAGAACCACCGTGACACGACGGCGGAGGATTTTACCGGAATGATCCCACACCGTGGACCCCTTTTGTCGAAGCCCTGGCCGATCATCCCATCATATCTTCCTTGGTCTTTGACCTCAAGCGTAGTTCCAAAGTCATGTGAGGCTTATTTTGGGAACGGGTTTAAAAGGGTGGCTGATGTTTTGCCCGCAAAGGCTGCGGTGAGATCCGGGTCGAGTTGGTTTCGATGTCATTACTCGGGGACTTTGAGGAGTTCGGTTTGTGAAGGTGGGAAGATAAGGATGGATACTGAGAAGATTAGGATGTCAAGAGGTGGTGAGAAGTTGGAGGATGTTATTGGGAGAAGTGAAGAAGAAGAGATGCCTGAGTTTGAAGATGGAGCCTTTGAGGTTGAAGGTGAAGGAGGAGCGAAATTGAAGAGAAAGAAGCTTGTGGGGGAGGAGTTTTTGAATGATTTTTTGCCTGCTGGGGACGTTTTGAGACATACTATGAGGGAGTTGGTTAGGTCTGTTGTTGTTGTGGGTGAAAATGATTTCACTTGTCAAGAGGTTAGATCAGATATCTGGATTTTTTTCCTTGAAATTTTGATATCTGTTCATTGATCTTAATGTTTGCTGGAATTGTTGATGTTAATGATAGTATTAATGATGGTTTGCTAAAGTTTCTGATTAGTTGGAGGTAAATTAATGCTTAAAATGCAGATATGGATCATAATTCAATGCAACTCTGTATGTCAAACAGATGCTTAGACTGATCTGTTTGTTTAGAATCTAGGGAAAATTAGCTTGTCTTAGATGGATTAGTTTGTTTCATCGTTCTGATAGTTGTTTTCTCTTGATTCTGATGTCTGCGGGTTTTGAGATAGTTGATTTCTGGATTAATAGGCAGTGGCATTTTATGAATTGAGTTACTGCAACTTTGGTGTGATATCACGGAGTTAGAAAGTAGAAAACTGATCTAATTTGTAAGTTCACTATGAGTTTGATTCAGCAGAGTAGTTGATTTGTTCATTTTCTTCTAGTTCGATTTGATTTGTTTCCTTCTCCTAATTTTATTCCTTTATGGAGTATGAACTTAATTCTTGCTATATTTGCTAGTCAGTTTCTTCAAATTCCTTGTTTAATTCGATTCAATTTGTTGATTGTTAGTTCTGCTTTTATGGATTCTGATGTGGAAAGCTCTGATTACAGTGGGTAGAAGAGCCTACACTTCTGGTAACAAGATTTGAGTATGCGAACCTTTTCCACACTGTGACGGATTGGTACAGTGCATATGTGTCTTCTAGGGTTACTGGCTTGCCTAACCGGCCGCATTTGGTCTTTGTGGATGGTCATTGTGAGGTATACATGCTCAATATTCCATACTCTGTTTCTAATGTCATCTTTGTTCACTTTAGCATATTGGCATTCTTCATTTACCATGTTATTTGCTCTTTCTGTAGCCAAAAAACATACAAGAATTAATGAGAAAAATGTCAGTGTTTTTAGCCAGGACAGGTGTTTCTACTTGCCCAAATGGAATGAAGGGAGGGGGTTTGTAGATAGGAAATGGGAGGAATTGCTAGGTTAATGAATAATGACCAAGGAGAGAATTATATACCTATTTAAGTTTGTCGCATATTCAAATGCTTAACTGTAATTTTTGCTCAGGGTTTTGATTTCATGCGCTTCCAATGTACCGTTCTATAAGTTCAGTAATTGTCTTATAAAATGGCAAAAATGTCATCTAGATGTGATTTAGCAATCCTACTTTTTGCTATGCTTGCAATGAGAAGTTTCATATTATCGATATTTTGAACATCTCCTGTTGAGTTTATTCCATTTGTCTATGAAATGCTTTATTATCCTACGATAGCTGATCCTTTTTTCTTGGCTGAAAATTTCCAGACACAATTAGAAGAAACATGGAAAGCAATGTTTTCAAGCCTTAGATATGCTAAAAACTTTAGTGGTCCAGTCTGTTTCCGCCATGCTATTTTTGCGCCGTTAGGATATGAGACTCCATTGTTTAAAGGGCTTACTGAAGAAATAAATTGTCATGGGGCTTCAGCTCATGATTTATGGCAAAGCCCCGATGACCGAAAAACTGCTCGGTTATCTGAATTTGGAGAAATGATCAGAGCTGCTTTTGGGTTTCCAGTGAACAGACATCATGCTGATAAGGCAGTCTCTGGTCATAATGTTCTCTTTGTCCGTCGAGAAGACTATTTAGCCCATCCACGCCATAAAGGTAAAGTTGAATCAAGACTTAGCAATGAACAAGAAGTGTTTGATGCATTACAGAGGTGGGCATCTAATCATTTGGAATGCAAAATAAACCTCATCAATGGATTGTTTGCCCATATGTCCATGAAGGACCAGGTCCGAGCCATTCAGGATGCTTCAGTTATTATTGGTGCTCATGGTGCAGGTCTCACACACATAGTATCTGCAACACCAAACACGGTTATTCTGGAGATTATCAGTAGCTATTTTAGACGGCCACACTTTCAGTTGATTGCACAATGGAAAGGATTGGAATATCATGCCATTAACCTTGATGGATCATATGCCAATCCAGAAGTTGTCACTGATAGGCTCAAAAAGATAATGAGTCGTCTTGGGTGCTAAAATTTTTGGGTTCTGAGACATCATCTTATCTGAGCTTGAAACTGACAGATAATCCTAGCTGTTCTCATCATCTGCCTGTTGGAGTTGGCCTTGCAAGATTTTGCTCTTTTTTCCCAATTTTTTATGAAGCACTTACTGACGAAACATAAGGAGATTCTTTTCGCGTGTCCATTCCTTCAAGATATTCAATTGATAGCTAACTCAAAGAAAGGAGCTACATATTTGGTATGGTAGATGAGGAAATCATTCTTATTCGATTGATATAGGCATTATTCAGCCGCACACTCTGAGAGATGGAAGATTTCAGTTGCAATATACGTTCTAGTGGAAATACTGTTAGCATACAGTTTGAGTTAAATTTTTTCCTTTGAAACTATTTTAAGACACATGGTTGTGTTCTTGTACTATTTTTCGGGTACATCGTGCAATGTACTCCATGTCAGGTTCATTGGATTGATCCAAAAAAAAGTGTATTTCATTAGTCTTTCTGATGAATTGACGAGGCAAAATTTTCTATATAAAGTAATAAGAGTGTGTTTTTTCCATGGAAAGTAGAATTGCCTTTGGTAGACTTACAATTCTTAGTCATCTTTGGAGCAATGACTATCATGATGAAGTCTGCAATTTTCTACATACTACCATCTTCCATGAATTTGACCATTACCAACTAAGCAGAGTCCACATAAACAAGCAAAGCTGATAAGGATGAATGATTATTACCCCAAATTTTTCTTTTTGTCCTTACAGAATGCGAAAGGAGATGAATTACAAGAAATATATAACAAAAATGCTGGATAAAAAATAAAAGTTCTTGGAGAAGCAAGACAGTGGCAAGAGCCCATTTCTTTTTGTCTGGTTGATTACACCAACACCATGATGATGACAGCAGCCAGAAGAGAAAATCAGGGACGATAAAATGAAACAAAAACAGGGTATTTCTTGAGTTATATATAATAATCTCTTGGGCTATTTATTAAGGGAAGATGAACAAAAAGGAAGAAGTGTTCATTTGGCAATAAAAGGATTGGGCTTTGACTTTGGGTCCTCTGCCTTAAGACATTAAAGTGAACTCCATTTTTTGACAACACCGCCCACCCGAACTTGTCTGTTAAATCGCAGCTGCCTAAGGTATGATGTTTCTTGGGTTTGTTTCGATAAGCAAAATCAGCATATGCACGCATATATATACATATATGTATGTATATATACGTATACATATATATAAATATAAATAAAATTCGAAGTAAATATTTATACATAACAGTTTAAGACGAATAGTTGGAACACACGTGTATACATATATATGGCGTATATGTGCATGATATGGTGCTTAAACATGTCTGTAACCCTTGTCTCGTCCTTATTTGCTACTGCATTTGATCAAGGAAAAGGTTACTGTGTTATAAACTCGGATTAATCGAGAAAGCCTGCCAAATGTCTGACAAATTGCATCTGAGAAAAATACAAGTCTTCGTTGAGCAGTTCATGAGATGCAAGCTGTCAAATTCATTTGGTTTGGGAGTAAGGGTGATTCTATTTGGTCATGCCATGTTTTCCATTTTACCCACCTAAACTCAATGGGATGTCCTGAAGTGTATGTATTGGTGGGTTTGTTTTGTCGCTGTCGCCTCTTAACACATCTTGTTTTACTCGATACAGCACTACCTCTTTCCCTCACAGAAGAACTTCTTTGCAATCTGTATTTGCTTGTATTTGTTCATGTTACGTGATTTAGATAACATGTTTTTTTCCTGGATAGGTAACTGATCCATCAGTGGTGTGCACTTGCTTTGGTGATAAGCAAACATGAGTTTATGCTATCCATCCACACCCAAGAAGCTGGCAATTACGGTGGGGTGCTTCCTTGCCGGTGCAGGCCTTTTCGCAGTGGGTACTCATCTCTCCTATGTATACATTGCCCCTCAGCAAGCTCGGACTAAAGCTCGGGATGAATTTGTCAAGGAACGGTTGAGAAAGAAATATGGCAAACCTTAGAGCTGCACTTGTTCCGCTATGTACCTTGGTTTTTACCCACATTCTCTACTTGGTGCTCTGCTCTCATTTAGTGCCATATAGTAATAAGAACTGTCATTGGAATGTCACTTTGGGCTTAGGCTGTAGATGTAATCTTCCTCCAGGGGTTCTTTTAGCTATAGCATTGGCTTAGGGTAAACCTTGGCATCCTCAGCAAGTTGTATTGTGGAACTACTTCCAACTAGTTTGTTCATGCATTTGGTTATTTGATCAATGCTGAAACCTTTCTTTGATTCAAATTTCTGATAGACTCTTTAGGTAATATAAGTTCATACTTACCACTTGCAAGATGACTGATTTATTGCTAAGGCAAAGGAGTCTGGCAAGGAGACCCTTGGATTAGCAGATACTTGTTCTATTCCTTGAAAACTTAATGCCCAGATACTTTACCCACCACAGCTAAAGTGAAGCTTGAACATAAGACCTTTTGAAAGATCCGTAGCTCATGCCACCAATTTGACCAAAAGGGTGCTTTTTGAACCTATATTGCGGGCATCAGGCATGCCATCTCATACTTGAAACAGAATGAACTCCATTTCTATCTCAGCGTCCTACCACAATAATTCCAACTTAGACATGTTTATATGCAAGTTGATCAGAGAGCGACATCCATAACAATCAAAACAGGCTGCATTTCGTCAGAAAAAAAAAAAACAGGCTGCATTTATAAACTTCCAAGATCATCTAACTTCAAGTACAAAAATAACATGCAACCAAAGGTATATAATAATACTGTTGAATAAGGCACAACCAACTAGTGGACATTCAAACTAAAGGTTCAATACTAACACAATCTTAAATGTCAAACACCTGAAAAGGTTAAAGAAAGGCAAAAAAGGACATTCTGATCTGAGAGATGAAATCTCAAGTAACAAAATTTTTAGGCAGCTCCCTTCCCCTTCTTTCTCTGGATCTTCTTCATGTAGAACTCCAGCTCTTTGCCTTCCAAGATATACCTGTCAAACACATTTGACATCATGTTACAATAAGAATGATAATAGTACAGTATGACCTAAAAAATAGTTGTACTGCAGTATCCACCAAGAGTTTAGCAAACGAAAAAGCTATTATCTAGGCTAATTATTAGCTGTCCTAAAATGATTCCTTTTCTTGCAAAAGGATTGTATATGCCAAGAGTAAAATGTGGTGTGAGGGACAAAGATCTAAGACTTCTGTAGAAGAACAAGACATGACATACCCATCAGCACGGCCGCACTGACCAGGCCGTGAAGAGATACAAGCCAACAAACGACCACTACCAAATTGCTCCTCAATATGTGAGTCAAGCTTGCGATTCTGCTGACGCTTCTCCAGCTTCCTCAAGACATGGCTGCTCTTCTTCACCTCCTCAGTAGCTGTTTCACCTTCCTATAGATAATTGAAGTGAAACAATGTAATTCATACACAGCAATACCCTCAGTCAAAGACTAAAGAAACCATAGAAACATCATTATGCTTAATCTGGAGTCTTGCCTAACAATATAACCTGGATTGGTACTCAATTTTTGTTTTGTAAAGGCCACAGTGGGAGAAGGTATATATAAATATATATATATATATATATGCTAGCATGATAGCAATAACCTCTCATATGCACATACAGCTCTAATAGCCAGAGCATATCAGATTGCACCAAGTAGAGCTGTGCAAAGACAATAACAGCCACTTGCAGGAAAAGGAGAAAGAGAAAAATTAGAACCATCTACCCACTAACAAAATAAAAACACCACATCCACAGATGAACTGATCTATTGAAACAGTATCCATGTGACCAAAACATAAAAAACCATCCTCCTACCTCTCCTTCTTTCTTGGCTGCTGCTCCTGCTGTTTTCTTCTTGCGACCAATGTCAACACCATAGTGCTGGAGATACCACTGCTTGAATGGAGCAGCATCAACTTGAACAATAGCACTCTTCACCAAAGTTTGAGTACGGACCAGCTCATTGTTGGATGCATTGTACACCACATCCAAAATTCTGGTCTTGCGGGTCACAGCCTCACTCCCCCATGAGTAGTTTCCGGTGTCGAGCCTCAGAGCACGCCACTTCACATTCCCACCACGAACCCTAATCCTCCTGACTGTCTTGTTGCTTGACAACTTTGTGTTTGCAGGTTGCCTTCCAAGCTCATACCTTAAAAAAGAATCCACCACAACTTAGAAAACTAGACAAACTAAGATGGAAATGTTCCAAATCAGGACAAAGTAACTAATACCAGAACAACTTTCTCTAAAAATAAAACAAAGCAATAAACACATTAACAACAAGTGAAACAACCCATTAAGAAATGAAACTGGACAAGATCTCTGGCATCTAAACAAACTACAAAGGACAACTTGTACAGTCATATAATAAATATCATAGTTTAAGGTCATGATAAGCAATTTGAATCAATTAACAAAAAAATCCCAATAAATCTCAGTAAAATTGCTCCAAAAATCTCATCCTTCCATTCATTCTAAATCAACTTTCTAAGCAACCAAACAGAGCTAAAATGATAAAAAAATCCAAACACAAAAAAAGGAAAAAAAAGGATTTTGCAGATTACTTTCTCTTCTTCCTCCATGCCTTCTTCTTGCCACCGGTGGCACGCCTCTTGTGCATTGAATCACGAGAAATACCTACAAAGAAAAGGAATAAAAACTCATTTCAGCAAGAAAATTAAACAGAAAATTACATGATTCAGAAAGAAATCGAAGAAAAATTAGAGGAATTTGAGAAATACCCATTTTGGCTGAGGTAAAAAGCTTAAGCCTTTTCGGGGTTTTTGGGTTGAAGCAAATCTCAGAGGAGGAGGAAACTAGGGCTTGAGAGGAAGTGATAGGCGGAGATTAGAAGCCTGGTTATACACCCAAAAACCCTAGTTTAGGAAATTACTTTTATGTCCTATTTGGGCCGGATTTATGTTAGGGTAAATTACGCAATGGATTGAGCGCCCGTTTAAGCCCAATAAGATGTTCGGGTTACTGATCTAGACTATCAAGGCCCAATTACTGTTGGACTTTTAAGTATATAAGAAAATGTAGTGAAATAATAAAATTAATAATTACTTAATAATAATATTTTCTTCCATATTTATTATTATTTAAAATAATAAATAATTTAAACATTTTTAAATTAATATTTTCTATAATAAAAAATTACATAATAATATTTAGAATAATGATATTTTGTTTTATATTTAAAACCTTAAAGAACAATGTGCCTGGTAGGGATTTGGAAACAACAAAGCACCCAACTTTGCTCATCAATGAGCAAATTGGAACCTGAATTATTCCTTATCTCTACAAAGCTCCATCACAACTTGCAAATTTTAAGATAACAAGTTGGTTCTTTTCTTCCCTTTTCTTTTTTGTTGTTATAACTTAGAACCCAGTTCAGAAAATCAATCAGTGTATGCAAAAAACCAGTCTTTCATACATTTGGAAGGCCTTTTGATGGGGTTTGCATTGTTGGGTTCAGTGGGTTCTTGTGTTTCGTTAAAAGATTCCCATCACTGGAATGTAAAGTTTCAATCTTTCATTTTGAAGGAGAGTTTTGGTGTTGGCTTCAAGTTGGTTAATAATTTCAAGGCTTGTAACCTTGTAAGAGTTTCACTTTGCAAGAGTGAATTTGTTCACTTTGAAGAAAGAACAAGCCCCAATGAGGTAAAACCCACTCTTTGATTTCTCCTCAAACTTTCATTCTCTTTCTTGAGTCATTTCTGATTCTTATTGAAAACTTGCTTTTGTGTGGATTTATGAGTGATGTTATAGCTTGGAGGATACTGATTGTATTGGATAGCACTAGCTTTTGATTTGAAGAATTAGACTTGATTTTGTATTATGCCAGCAAAATCTCTGAGCAAAGATCTAAGTTGGGTATATTTTTGGCTTTTCTCTTCTTTTGATAATTAGGAATTTTGAACATGCTTAGCTGATATAGTATCCTGAGTGAGCAGTGTCATCTTTTCTTGTTGGCCCAAGGTAATGCCAAAATCTCTTGGAGATACAAGTCGAATTGCTGCCATTTTTGCATGGATGTTTATTTTCCTTTTAGATTTAGCTTATGGTGTCATCTTTGGCTGCTGTTATATATTATTTTGGGCTTCATTGGCATTTGGCAGGTTTTCTGTGAACATAGTCAGAAGCTTATTTGCTAATTTTGTTTTCTCATTTGAAAGGTTAGAAAAGAGATAGAACAATGCTATGAACTCATACACAGACTTGGGAGGGGAGTTGTGTACTTGGGTTCTTCACGGATGGGACCTGGCCATCCACATTACTCACAAACGCTTGAGCTCAGTAGAGAGGCAAGTTGATTTATAGAGCTTTGTGTCTCTTTAAATCAATTTAGCAAATATTTGTCTACTTTGGAACAATTTTCCCAATGCTTAGGATTTTCTTCATTTTTGTTCTTTTTAACGCCATCCTTTTCATGAGTTTAATTTTCCTCCTTAGCAGATAGCGAACCTATTGGACTGTACCACATGGACGGGGGCTGGTCCTGGCCTCATGGATGCTGCTATAACAGGTGCTTTCCAAGCAAAAAAGCCAGTTGGTGGGTTTAAGATACGTAGGGAAGCTGGAGAATGGTCTACCTCAAATTTTCATCCGTACCTGCCTTCAGACACTTATCTTACATGCAGGTAAATATTACTGTTTGTAAAGGTTTATCAACACAATTCTAAATCTATGCATTTGAACGATCTTCAAAATAAAATGCAGGTTTTTCTCTGCTAGAAAGCATGGATTGGTTGATGCTGCAGTTCGAAGTTCTATCTTTGATAAGACAGCTGTAGTTGCTCTCCCAGGTGGTGTAGGTACTCTCGATGAGATGTTTGAGATATTGGCATTAATTCAGCTTGAAAGGATTGGATCAGAACTTCCTGTTCCCTTCATCATAATGAACTATGACTCATTCTATGCAAAGCTATTAGACTTTCTTAATGTTTGCGAGGATTGGGGTACTGTCTCCAAGGGAGAGGTCTCATCCTTGTGGAAGATCTGTGACACCAATTCAGAAGCTTTAGCTTACTTGGCGGAGTTTTATGATCTGCCTTTTCCTGATGAAGGCAAGCAAGAAACCGAATTGAGAACTGCACAAGAAAGAATCCCTTAAAAAGTTCTGAAGCTGACAAGAGGATGGAACAGAAGGGGTTCTGTGCTACTATTCCATTCTTTTCCAAATTTGGATCCTTTGAGTATTCACTTATGAGAGTCAATAAATCCTGTTACTTGTGGAAAATAACTGATTAAGCTTACAGTTGGCTGATTTTATTTATTCATCCATTATAACAAGAATCCTGATATGTACTTCCGGTTTTCACTCAAAGTGGCAGCAACCGGTTTTACTGTATTGTCCTTAGCATTATCATTCAATCAAACTCAAAGTAATTCCATGTGTTACATTTACATAGTTCCATTTGCAGTCAAGTTAGAGGATCTCATGATATGGTCATGATGTAGATTTGATCAAGCTAATAAACAAAACCATCAAGAACAGAGCAAAGAGCAAAGATCAAAATGTCTGAAATCCCACCTATTAGCTACATGATTGAATACTCAAGCACAACTTTGAAACCCCTATGTCCTTTACATAAAAAGTTGGACAAAGGAATGATTAATATACTTTAAAGTTCCTAGATCAACAATGGAATGCAGCAACAGTTAAAAACCATGAAGGTTTCTTTTGCAGGAAAACCTTAGGTCAAAGAATTCATGTCTTTTCACATTATGCTGCACCACTCAGGATCACCATTGCGAAAGCCCTCTGGTGGTGGTGGTGGCTGGGGAAAGTACTGAGCCTGTGGCTCATAGTAAGGATAATGTTGATGATAATGAGAGTAATATGGGTAGTTTTCATATATGGGGTGCCAAGTTCTTTGTTGATGAGGATAGCCATAGTTATGCCCTGGTCTTCCATAGGGATTACATCCATAGCTGCCATGATATGAGTAATCATAGCCATGTCTCGAAGGAATGTTCATCCCTCGATATCCAGAATCCACCCGAGAAAGATCTGCGTGCAACCCTACTTCTGCGAGCGTCATCATAAGTTGTCTTGGGTTTATTCTTCCTGTTATCTGGACAACCCCCTTTTCTCCATCTATGTTATAAGTAATTCCTGAAGAAAACAAACCAATGCTGATTACCAAGAGATGCAAATCAAAACAGAGGAATCAAACATAACAGATGACTTGTTCCTTAAGAAATGAATCACCATCAATGCTGCTCAAGACTCTAACAAGCATTGCATGCCATCCTACGGGCTGGGTATCGACTCTTAGAATACAGTTCTGAAGAAAACAAACTCCCCAGAAACAGTAAACTAGCATTAGCATTTCACAGAAAAATGTTCATAACTATTGAGAAAATAATAGCATCTGTCAAAATGAAACCAGAAAGGTGAAAGTTTTAGTGTAACCATGTATTCAGCAGGATAATCCATCATTGAGGTTGTTCTTCCTCTTATTAAAAGCTAGTGAGAGACTTTCCTGATAGGCAATGGACAATGAACATAAGCAAAGTGAAATGTATCAAAGGTAGAATCATTAAGACTATCAAGTACCTAATTAAATGTATCAAAGGAGATCAAGGAATTAAGGTTGGATTTTTGAGAAATTTCCTCCATTATTCAATGAACATGATCTTCCCATTGCATCTTTTCCACATTCACTATGAAATACGTAAGAAAATCACAAAAGTTTTTGGTAAATCCCATGAAATCTTACTACTGGTTTTTTGGTAGGTAAAATCTCATATTCTTGGAATGAATAATTGTATACCATATCAGTCTTCCAATCCAAGGTTTTTTGGGGGGCTCTATCCCAAACTTTCCATTTCAAAATTGGTTTCCATTAAACATATATGTAATTTAGTTTTCTTCTGATTCCATTGTCCGGTTTTATTCACAAAAGTTCATTCATGGAAATTGAGGGTGCCCTTTAACTAGAACCTGAAGGTATCTAACGCAATTATATATGGTTCAAGTATTTTATATTCGGGTTTGGGATGAGTTCAAGTAGAAATTTTGCTGCACATTTTGGGTTCGGGTAAGGTATGAGTGTCACCCTTTGGATATCCGAACCCGTTTATATATAAATATATAAAAAATATGGTATATGCTTTGAGGGGATTGAACATGTGCGATGCTCTTGGACAACCAAGAACTTGGGTAATATTTTCAAATTTTAATCGGATAATTATAGGGTTTAGATATCTTATAACTTAATAAAGTTTAGGATAGGATACCTTAAATATATCGGGTATCTTACCAGTTGACGTCCTTACATGGAATCAAGAAAGTTCATTCAACATAAAGCAACAGGTTTGGGTGTACAAACCAAACAAGGTGAAAGCCCAAAAAACCAGACATCAAACATAACATGTCGATAATATATCACCTGCCTCCAAACAGAAACCTCTCCTAAGACAGCCTTATTACAAGAAATAAAACCACAACAGATGATGTTTTCCTCCATTACCAATAGGAGAAATTACACTAGTACTAGTCAAAAAAGAAGGTTGAGGTCCCAAAAATTTACATCAAACAGCAAAAAGAACATTTGGGTTTCGAGCTGGAAGCTGGATTGCTGCTGCTGGTGTCATTAGCCTCAGATTCTTTATGGACAGGTCTTCCATATGGATCAGTTTCACATCCATACTGTAACCAGCAAAGTCGAGCTGCTTGTGCTTCAGCTTTTCCTAGCAACTTTAGCTGTAGCTGAGGACTTATTTTTCCAGAAATATAAGCTTGCTTTGTGAATGAATCAATCCTTAATGTGACACCTGATAGAGTTACGGTACCCAAAATTTTATTTGGCGCAGAAAAAAACAGAAAAAGATGAAGTCAAATGAAGCAGCAACAAGGGAAAACACACCTTGCATAGACTTGAATAGTAGGCACATTGTCTTGTGCCAACCAGGAATATCAGTATCCACTAGCAAAACACATTTCTGCAAGAAATTGTGCACTCTTAAGGATTTTCACAGAAGAAGAAAATGGAAGCTGAAGAGAAGTATGTAGTTTAGTTACCATGATAGGTTCTGATACTGGTTTGGGAAGATCAATCCCATAGTTTATTTGATGAGTAAGAGCATGTGTTTTGGATTTTGCTAGCAACTTTAGCAGTAGCGCTTTGTCAATCTTACCAGAAACACGTGCTAACTTTGCTTGTGCATCAATGGTGTATGATACATCTGATGAAAAAAGATTAACAACCACAAAATAAAATTAAAATTGGCATTAAAGAAAGAAACTAAATAAACAGAAATCCAGAAGAAGAAAAGAGAGAAAAACCTTGGATAGACTTGAATAGTTTAATCATTGTTATGTGCCAGCCAGAAATATCAGTATCCAGCTCTAAAATACAAGTCTACAAGAAAATCTTGAGCCACTGTTATTATGTTTGAAGGCAAAATAATAATAAAAAAAGACAAATTCTACACAGAAGTAGTCTGATTACCATGCCTGCAGGTTCTCCGGCCATTGATAGAAAGGCTTTTGTTCTTGAATGTGACAAGTTTTAGGCTAAAAGTGAAGATTTAAGAAATGAATATAAGTCAAGCCTTTTTTCTAAGGAAGCTCTAAACTAGTGTCAATTATAAGGTAAGTGTACTGCAAATCAATGCCTTTTGGGAGCCAAGATCTTATTTCCTTCCATTTTCTTTGCTTTATATAATAATGATCAAGAATATTTTATGCTGTGGGAATGATTACTTGTATGATATACATCAAATATGGTTGGAAAACTTGGCAGTCAAGAAACTGATAAGAGACAAAGTTTCTGTGAATGTCCAAAACTTAGAAAATTTGGAAACGTTTAGAACTTGATTTCTGGGAGAGTTTCAACCCTTTGTTTTCCCCGTAAAAATTGTATCATAGGTATCAAAGATTGAGGCCTTTTATGCAGTAAAGCTTCAAATTGTTATAAAGGCCTTCTGGACTGATTGGCTATGTTATGGTTTTAACAGTACTAAAACAATAAAAGCTTATAATAAGTTATATTAGTTTGATTTTCGGTTCTAGACTTCTAGCTTGTGACTGCATATATTTGCATGATTCAGATATATTCAACTTTCTAATGTCCTAGCTTGAACAAAGAAATGAATTTCTTTGATGAGCCTTGGGGGAGATCTTTAATGGCTGAGCAGTTGAATGCCACATAGGAACAATGAACTATTGTCAGAGTTTCAATTCTACAGACTCATCAATCAACAAAGGTTGCAATTGTATTCAAACAGATCTTAATTATGGCTTTAGCAGGAACAATTTGTTCTGGTGACAATTCCAAATGAATCCAAGTACTGCTGCATTTCATGGCAGTAGATATATGAACAGAGGAAAAGCTGATGCTGTAGCATCCACAGTAGATATCCAGCCATATACTTTCAACATAAACTGAAAGAAGAAAAGAAACAGAAAGACCGTTTCTTCTTAACAAAAACCAAGTAAGAACATAAGAGTTCAGATATATCATCCAAATTTTAAGATCGTTCACATATCATTAATACCTAGTTGCATCCATATGAATCCTTATAATAAATGGATTCATTCATCGAAACAAAGAAAAATGAAATCATAGACAAATGGATAAAAAAAACAATCATTTGTCTATGATTAACAGCTCTAATAGTAGCGAGTGGACCAATAGCTATGAGGTTCAAAATGTGGTGGATCAGGACCATAGGGTTCATAATAGCTGCTGTAATGGTAACTAGGCTGCTGATCATACTGATAAGGGTGATGAAGATATGGATGACTTTCATAGCATCCACTGCTGCCGTAAGTACTTGGCTTTCCGGTCTTGATCCAGGCAACATCCATACCGGATTTCTTCAGCTTCTTCAGAATTGAGTTTGAGTTTGCTCGACCAGAAACAAGAGCCATACCTTGTTCTGCATCTATGGTGTAAGTTGCTCCTGCACAAGCATTGCAATCAACCCATTAGAGGAAACAAAAGAAAACTAGTGTTTTTATTCAAGCACCCGAGATAGAGAAGGAGAGGGATTAACACCTTTGAGTTTCTTCAAAACTTTGGTCAGACTTTTATACCATTCAGGAGATTGAGGGTTAACTCTTAGACCACAAGTCTGCATTGCCGTTAGAAAGAATCATTAATCAAGCCTCAATTGTATCATAATTGTTCAAATGCCATAAGATTGGTGAAAGTAGAAAAAGGAAAAAGAATCAATAAAGAAGAATACATTACTAACCAAGTATTGTTCTGATGATGATGAAAACATCTTGATGAAGTAGAGAGACTGCTACTGAAAATAATCCTACCAATTTTTTTTTTCAGTGTTTCTTAGGGGAATACAAGATTTTCTTGATGGTTACTCAGGCTCAACTGCTTATAAAGGAGAAACAAACTGAAGTTATTATAACTGATTTAGCAGTAATCATGAATTAAGGTTTTAGCCTTTTTTAATCAGTGATTTAGTAAGTTATTAATGTCAATTAATCGTGATATCTACGATTATAAGTAAGGAAAGAGCTTTAGGATATATGATTTTCTTCTGATGCTTCCCACCAGGCTCGAAAAGAGGAGTTTCCTAGTTTAGTTTATGGAGTGTTTTAACTGTTTCAACCTTCAACGGTTACAAGATTAAACAGCCTCCCTTTCTCAAGTCTTAGAGAGATTTTCTCTAAGGTGTCTTAATTCAGTTTGTTCTTTCATTTTATGACTCTGGGATGTGGCGGTTTTACACAATCAACTCCATCGTTTTCAAATTGTAGCAATGAAAACTTTCTGTAGTAATAAATGTTATAGGTTTCACCACTGGTAAAAAGGCTAGAATCAAGGATTCCTGAAAGTTGCTAATTAAACTTGTTCTTTGTGCTCAGCACTGAAAATCAGGGTTCAGAGATTCTATCATGTTTACAGGAAGTTTCAGACATGTTTAGAAATTCTGTCATGTTGACAGGAAATATCAGAAGTTCTGTCAGTTGAAGACACACAAAACTCAATGTTGGTTGAGACTAACATGATCTCAATTGATCTCTAGAATGAACTCAAGAAAGTATAGCAGAGATGATAATTTGTCAGATGTGTGCAATACTGACATGTAGATTGTTCAGTTATACAAGAAAAAATTCTTAAGAACGCAATGAATTGGCAGGAAAATTGACTTTGGAGAGACTTGAGGGTAACATGTATGAACTTCATATTATTCATTTCATTAAATCATGAAAGGAAACAATACTCTATTTCCATTTCCAATGGTGAAGTTGAAAAAATCTCCACCAAGGATGCAAGTACTTCTAATAATAAGTACCAGATGGCAAGTAACCAAAATCCTAATGAACTAGTAAAACAACTCAAGCATGACTTGGTCGGATAATTATTCACATAATCATGCACTGAGATTCTCCGGCATAAAAGTGTTCCGGTAGCATTGAAGGTGGCGGGGGAAGATACTGAGGAGGTGGAAATGGATAAGGATGGTAGTACTGATGGTTAGCTTGCCAATATCTTCCTTGGGGATCATCAAAATGATGGTGATGATCTCTCCTTTCTGCCGCTGGTTGATTGGTTCCAGAGTCAATCCAGTACATTTGAGCATGTTTCCCTGCTTTCGCTAGCAGCTTGAGAGTTTTGCCAGGGTCTATGTTACCAGAAACACGAGCCAAACCATTTGCATCAATGGAGAAAGTGGCACCTGGAATTCCCTTCAAAACTTTGATCATGGACTTCTCCCAACCTGGAGTCTGAGTATCCACTCTAAGGATGAAAGTCTGCAATCAAACCAAAAGAAACAGTCATAACAAAAGTACTAAACGCTTCAAAAGAGAAAAAAAACTGAAAGGAAAAAAGATCTGATATAACTGTGTATGAGGAGGATCCTGAGTCCATTGAAAGTGGGTTTTCTAGTGCTAATGAAATCTTTCAAACTTGAATGATTCTTGCAATGAAAATGAAAGGAACAAAGGGAGGTTTCCTTGATCAGATATGGATGGAAGGGTAGTTGAAAACGAGTTTCTGTGGGAAGAGGATGAGTAGCAGATTTGGTTTATATAAACAACCTTTTAATGTGGTGCAGTAAGTAAACCAATGATTTGGGGTTCAAACGAGGAAAGTTTTGAAATATCTTGTAAAATATAACAGACTAACTGATGGGAATGAATCACTTTTTGTAACATAGGATGTTTGGCATATCAGACAAGATATGAGATCACCACTTCCCTTTCCTATACATTGAAAGTGGAGATTTTTCCTCCAAAGATCAAAATTTCTGGTATACTTGCCAAATTTATATTAGAGCAAATGAATAGTTAAAATTTCAATCAATTTTTTTTTTGGATAAAATACCCATATTTCAGAAGAATTTTCACATTAATTGGTATCTACATTGTCAAATTTTCTTTCCAAGTATGAATTAATGTTAATTATAAACAAAATGTGAAAAAAATAATTTTTTTTTTATAAAATAATATTATTCAACTATTACTAAAGTTAACATTCAAAATCAGTAGTCCTTGATTGGACATTTCGATGGCCATTTGCTTCTGGGATATGAGGAAATATCTCCATCGGTGTATTCAACCTACCTATATAATTAAACCAGAACATATAATTGAATCAAGAACTGAGAATGGAAAGCAACATAAGAAACAATTTCATATTCTGCTTGCAAAAACCTTCAAAATCTCAACTAAACTTTAAGTTTACATCCTCACCACTAACCAGTTGCAACAATCTACAAATAACAGAAGTAAAAATGGCCCCCCATCAGTTAGCCGGAGGAAACCTGCCTTTATTTGGTTTTACTAAAGAGTTGCAGAAAGAAGAAAAAGCTCCTTTCAGCTCATCAGGAAGCGGGAGTGAAAGACGGAGTGCCATAGGACGAGGCCCGCTCTTGTTTCTCCCAGAAAAGGAATGTGCCAGTGCTGGTTGCTGCTTGTTAAGCCCTTCAATGATAAAGGAGAATGCCCCAAATGTGAGACAGCTCTGTAGAAGTGCCTGGGGTGCGCCTGCATTAGCATAACCATTTCAAGAAAATGAGGTTCAAACTGAAACCTGTACTTTACAGCAAGCAAATGAACCTTGAGATTCTCATACCGGGGAAACTTAGAGCAAGTCCAGTGCAACATCCAGCTACACCAGCATTAATAACTGCAGAGAAAAGACAGCATTAGTGTATATCAACATGCCAAGCACAAAAACGCGGTGTTACTCTGTTTTATACAAGGCATACCATCATCTTTTCCCCGCAGCCTCTTTAAAAAGCAAACAACCAAACTGTGTACTCCTGACAAGACTGCAAATGTCTATAAAGGGCAAATATAAGAGACCTTAGATTTATGCACTCAAGCGGGAAAAACAAGTAGTTAATCACATTATTCTGGAATCACGAGAATCTCATACCTTGGCATAAGATCCTGCCTCCACAAAGGATCCTTTAAAGCCCTTCTTTTTAATCAATCCTGAACCTGAGACAAATGCAGAAGGAGAATATTATAGAAAGGTCATCTCCCGAGTATAGAACTAATTTCTAGCAGATAAATTAACCGCGACAAAATGTTAATTAAGAGTCCAAGATAAGATGGTCGAGTAGAATATCCCACCCAAAAGATTGCTCAGAGACTAGAGATTAAGCCCTAACACTGAAGTGCCACATAAAGAATAAAATTCAGGGCATTGAACATGCATTTTACAGCAACCTAGAAACTGAAAGAAAGAATACAATCCTACTCCTCGAATGTCCCAAGAACTAAATTCACTTTAGCTTCCCTCATTTTCTGGAGCATTAATGACAAGAACATGTCATATCACCCAATCTTTACATTAACACAGAAGTATTCTGATAGAAGTAACAGCCTAAGGAAATAATAGCAAAGTCCTTCTCTAGTAGATTCAGATGTAAAATGAAAAATCACTGATTTCGAAGTTATTGATGCATGCTCATTTTCTTACAAAACACATCTAATAGTACATCCTTAACATATCACTACAACCTTCAAGATGCATGCAATTACAAATATCAAGAGCTTGAAAGTCTTAGGCCTTCGAAACATTCCACATGTCTTCATGAATTCGAACACAAGCTCTCATATGTGACAGGTCCATCTCACATAAGGTCCAAAGTTATCAGAAAGAAATTGTTCAATCTCGTAAATAGGTAAGAAAAAGAATCCTAAGTCACCACTATCCAAAGGAAATTATTCAATATAAATTACAACTTGAGATGCTGAAAAATCCATTGTTCAACATTATGACTATCTTATCCACTCAACTACTAACATTATTACATAAGCACGTAATTCATTATTCTACCACTTTCAGATAAAGCACAAAATTCCAATTACTATAACAAAACCAAATTCAAAATTCCCAAATACCCTATTTCTTCTACACCTCTAAAGACCTCAGAAAAGGAAACCAAAAAGAAAAAACACGAAAAAATTCAATGAAAAATTCCCAAAAATTTGTTCTTTAACAAACTAACAACAAGGCCAAAGAAAACCCATAAAGAGAAAAAGACTCACTTTTTTCAAGAAAAAAAATTAAATGGGGCATCAAGTGCTTGGAAAAGAAACGAGAAAAAGATACCATAGCCGAAGATGGAGCCCATGAAGGCACCGGCGGCGGAGTCTCCTGCGAATTGGAAGAGGCATACGGCAGGGGAATTAGAATTGGAACGAGTTGGGATTATAGCTTTGGAGGAATTAGAATTAGGGTTAGGATTAGGGCTTGTTTCAAGATCAGTTTCAGTGGAAGAGTTGGAAGAATCCAAAGTAGCCATTTTTGTCCAAAATTTCTGCTTTTCTCTCTCTCTCTGTCTCTCTCTTCGTGAAGCTATCGCTGGCTTTGAAACGAGCCCCGATATCAAGTTTTGGCTATCTGCACACGACGTCGTTTTTTCTTCTTCTTTATTCCATGGGTTTTTTCTATATAAATCTTTTGTTTCTTATCCCATATCAAAATTTCTAAATTTGAGACTTAAATTTTAATTATCAGGTGTCTTTTAAACACAAAAATTAACTTATTTAAAGAGATTTCAAAATTAAATATATTCTATTAAAATACTAATGCTCGGATATCTTTTAAACATGAAAATTAACTTATAGGAAGAAATTTCATATGTTCGTTAATAAGGTGACAATGAATTAAAATATTGATATTTAAGTATTTTTTAAAAATAAAAATTAACTAATTTAAGAAAATTTTGACTTTAAATATGTTCACTAATAAGGTAAGAATGATTAAGATCAGTAGAGACTACCAGATAGAGGAAGTTTCAACAGAAAATTCTATTATTATACGCGAAAGAATGATAGTTGAAGGAACATTACAAGAAATGCAATGCACACATGGCACAGAATACAAGAAAAAGAATAGGAAAATTATCATAGAACCATACAAGAATAGTAGTATATGTAGTATTTCATTTTGACCCAAGTAGGGTCTCTTTGATTGTCTTAGGCTGCCTCTGAATTAGTAATGCTCTTGGTAAATTGCTCCAAACTCTGCTCTCCATGCCTGATCATCATCTGGGATTGAGCTGTTGTGTGCTACAACATCTGAATCCTCATGATATAGCGGCTTCAGTGCAGATTCTGGCAGTCTGCTCTCTGCAAGGTACTGCTTCATGGTGATCATCTCCATCTTGTGTTTTCTTTTGAGCTTCTCCACTTGTTTCTTTAGCTTTTCATTCTCTTGTTGGACATTGGTGAAGTTCTCCTGTAAGGGGCAAAGGTAAAAGAATAATCAACAAAGCCATTTTTTTATCTGTAAAAAGTGAAATTTTCAGTCAAGTAAGTTGATGTTGATGTTACCTCTGCAACTGAGGCAGCTTGCTCAGCTTCCCTGAGCCTAACAAGGAGTTCTCCAGCAGCATGAACAGCTTCTGCTGTGTCTCTAAGCTGGATTCTGAGACTTTTGTTCTCCTTTTTCAGGAGTTCTTTCTCCCTCTCCCTTTCAACTCTAAGAGCTGAAAGCTCAGCAGCCAGGGATTTGGCAAAACGTGTGCCGTGACCTTTGGCTCCGGCCTTTGCTGCTGCCTTCTTAACCTCTGCTATCCCTTCCATAATTGCCCGGTGCTTTGCAACCAGATCATTATACTTCTCTTGTAAGTCAGCATAGTGTTCAACCATTCTAGCATGCCCAAGGACAGCTCTGCTAAGAGCATCATCCAACTCCTCAGTGCACTTCTTCTCTAGTTTCAGTTCCATCTCTACTTTCTCTGCACGGCAGCGGTTGGATTCAAGGTCCATCCTGAGTTCATCAGTCAATGATATCCAATCACTTTCCATTTCCATCCATCTCTGCCTTTCCCTCTCAAGTTCTTCCTCGCTGTTACCACGACAGTCTACACTTTTTTGCAATTGAATGGAACGTGACAACAAAGATGATCTCAGCTTTTCAGTAGATCTGTTTGGAGATGCGGCAGTATATGACTGCAATTTGCTCGTTAATGTTTGGGTTTCCTGAAGAAGTGCTTCCTTCTCATTCATATCAAAATATTCGTTTCCATTTTCATCATTGTTGGACTGCTCAAATGGTATTATTTCATTCTTCAGAGACTTAGGACCATGTTCAATGGCAGAATTTTCTCCCTCATGTTTGTATTGCTCTACCTGTAGAAGTTCAGACTGTCAAATATAATCCAAGTTTCAGGAATCTTCATGAAATATAATTTTAAAGAGGTGAATAAAATTATTACCAGTTTATTTAACTGCTCAATTTTGGCTGCTTGCTCCTTACAAACACTTTCAAGCTCCTTCTCTCTTTCAGTGGCTTTTGCCAAATCATTTGCCACAGCCTGAAATAGAAGCAACAAAACATCTGAGAATAGAACAAGGAACACATAAAGGAGAAGATGTTCCCTTAAAAGAGAGCAAGTCTGAACATACTGTGGTATGGCCATCTGTCTGTTGATTATCAACTGCTACAATCCATGTCTTCAAGCTATCCTGAACCCCGTTAGGGTTATTGTCAAACTTTTGTTGACAAGATGAACAAATCAAGGGAGTAGAAGTACCATCTGAAGAAGGTTCCGGTAATGTTTGAACAGATGCACTGGCCTTGTCTGCTTCTGGACAAGGTTTCAGCATCAAGTGTTCGAAAGAGAAGGCAACTGAAGATCTGTTGGAAGCTGAACTATGCTGGTGATAATCAATAATCTCCAAGCCTCTTTGAAGGCTAGCAGCCAAAGATTCTGTAGGTCCTGGAAATATCTTGCTTGAACGTAAGGAGGATCTGATGTGCTCATTATGTTTGAGTGACTGTCGCAATACCTCTGACTCCGAACCCTCTGATACATTGTTCTGACTGGCCAAAAGTGCTGATGGGACAGCCATGCTTTTCCTTAAATTATTTCCAATTTTTGGAGACTCTGACAAAGTAGGCTCTTGGAGGACTGAAGACCGATGGCATGAGCTGATGGAGAGGCTATTTCTGATTGAAGGATCAACAGCCTTCATGGGTTTTGTGGTAATTGAAAGGTCATCAGCTGATGCTAGAATGTCCTTAGGAGGAAGTTCTTTCGGAGGTTCTTCCCCACCAAGTTCTTCTATCCCAGTTTCTTCAGGGCAATGAATGCCGTCTTCACTCAGCAAGTCCGTCTCACAACTTTCTTTTACAGAAGAAGATTGAATGGAAACTCTCTTGTCAGATGGATCTCTTAAGTTTGTTTCACCAGAGCTATGCAAATAATCTAGCTGCTGACATAGTTCCTTTACATCTTCCTCACCAATTTTAAGCTCTTCCTCATAATCATTATCTATGTGTGGTAGGAGCAAAGAACGGTTAAGACTTACTCTCAAATGGTTCAAGCTATCGCGTGCACTTCGCCCTATAAAATATCCACTTTTACTCCCAACTGAACTGTATACATCAGACTTTGCTCTTATAAGCTCTTCCTGTAATCACCAGGATAACAGCAAGTCAGGTCATGAGTAGATGCAAGATGCAGTTAAAAAAGGTAACTCTTGGTACAAAATTTTCTACCTTCAGTTGTCGAATCTGATCACTCAAGCCATTGACATCATCTTCAGATATTTCATTTATTACTGGCTCATTTCTTATGGATTTAATCCGTTGCCCAAATCTGAGAGTGCTCAGTACTTCACCACTATTTCTGCAGTCCAAAACAATGAGCTTCACTCAAATAATGACCTTTGATAAAACAAGTGCAGTTTTCGAATCTTTTAAAAAACAAGTCAAAACAAGTAATTAGAATTAAATACCTGTTGTCTGCAGAAATGTTGCAAATAACTGTGAGTTTAGCGTTGCCACCAAGGGATTCTCTGAGTATACGTGTTAAACAGGAACCTTGATATGGAGCATCTTCAGGTTGAGTTTCTTTTGCAAGAGTGTTCACCAAATATCTTCACCAATGAAACAAAAAAGAAATTATAGAAAAGCTTTAGTTATGCCTATAACCAACAATGATGGTGTTAAACTCAAAGTCTAAAACATGTTAACAACTAAACATCATCTTAATGATTTCCAGATTATGTGAGGGTAATGACAGCATACCCAAGCTGTGATAGGGACTTCTTGACATTTTTCCCTTCCTGTACATGTTGTCTACCCAAATCTTCAAGTTTGTTTCTATCTAGTCCTGCAAGATCAATCAGGCTGATTCTGCTTGTCTTTGAACTGCTGAAACATTTTGATGAGGCTCCCTGTGGCATGAATCAATGATCAACCCAACGTTAAGAACAAATAAGGCTTTAACACAATGATATCAGCTCATTATTTTTTGCTTGGAATTTTTAAAATATAGTTGCGCATAATTATATATGGTCACATTGATCATGGACCTGAATACCATCCACAGTAGAAGTAAATGCCACAAAACTAAACGAGACTGACTGATACCACAAAAAAGGGAAATCTGTAAAACTAAACTATACCTTGCACCAAGATTCGATGACAAAAGTAAACATAATGTGAGAACGAGAGCTCTTAGAATTTACAGTTGTTGCTCCAACTTTTCTACTTGAAAGCCCCTGTAACACGCATATTAAAAAGAGTATTCAATACATGCATGGAGTAAAAGTTGCATGTCAATATGATATAAGAAGAGCATTTTAAAAAAAATGATATAAGAAGAAAGCATGCTAGATAAACATGCATTCAAAGTTGAAATGGTTTCCTGGCTACCTTAATCAAAATCTGAGTTACGTCCTCATAGCTAGAAACATATTCCTCAGTCAAGTTCTCAACATACAATCCATTTTTTGGGTCATCCTTTATCTGAAAAGACGTCCAATAAACCAGTTATATACCATTATGCAATAAACCGTGAGAAACTGTTAGTCAAGGAAGCAAAGATTCACCTCAAGGTTCCTTTGGGTTGGATCGAGTAAATCCCCAATGTGCTCATTGTAAATCTGTAAATCGTTCATACAGAACGCATTACATTTCTGTAAAGCAATAAGTCCATACATTGTTTTATACAAGCCTTCAAACCAGTACATACCTCGAGAAAGGAGCAACGGCACTGATAATTTATCTGTTTCCCATCAAGGTTCTCTTGTTCCTATAAATTAAACGTAGGAAATTTAATGACCTACACTTCCAAACTCCCGCTACTCATTTCCTAATAAAATTCAAAATAAGGAAAAGAGAAACATACTCTTTGAATCTCAGAGAACAGCATTTGGAAGATACGAGGAACAATCCCTTGGTGGCTTCTAGGTGAAGGATCCTCGACCATTGCACTTGGAGGACCCCACATCGTGTAAGACTTTCCACTTCCAGTCTATTGACCATATAAGTAATTATATATGAATCATGGTCAGTTGGTCATATGTAATAGAGATAAGTCTCATCTCAACAAAGCACTCCAGTAGTTATCAACTTCTGTAGTTA